CCCGAAACGTCAGCCTTTCTGCTCCTATGATGCTGCTTGGCTGCTGTGTTCATCCAGCTCTGCACCTTGTTGTCTCGGATTCTCCAGCAGCTGCAGTTCCTACTATCTCTCTTCACCCATAGGATATTGGGGGTCTGGAATGCACTGCTGGGGAGGGCAGTGGGGCAGGAAAATCTTTGGCACTTCAAGTGTCATAACATTCAAGGCTATGGATTAGTGCGGGCAAATGAAACGAGTAATGAGGACCATTAGTGGCTAACAATGAACTCACAAATGTTGCAACCATCTGGACTTAATATTGAGTTCAATAATTTTAGGGCCGGAGCACCTACTCCCATGTCCTTTCCCCAGTGCTCACACACCAGACCTTCTCATCACATGGGCTGCTACAAAAAACAACCTATTATTAGCTACTAATAGTCCCCTTTGGCAGCGATTGATTCTCCCAGGCTGATCTTTACCTAGTCCTTTGTTGGTCCACTGTTTTTCTCCCTCTCTCCCTGGGTTCCATCTCCACCTACTGTTTACTCCTTCCCCCTACCCTGATCCCATCTTCAGCATGTATAACAATCTATTCCTAGCTGCAACCAGTTCTGAAGAAGGGTCACTGGGCCCGAAATGTTAACTCTGCTTTCTCTCCACAGATGCTGCTAGACCTTCTGAGCTTTTCCAGCAATTTTTGATGTTGTTTCTGATTTCCAGCATCTGCACTGGCTCTTCAAATGAGCATCATTACCTACTGCCAGTTTCCTACTTTCTCCCTGTACCCTTGCACATTATTTCTTTCTGAATAATCATCCATTACCTCTTGAATGCCTCAATTAAACCTGCCTCCACTAAATTATCGCTGAGCAGGTGCTGCTTGGTAGCACTGTTGATGACATCTTTCATCACTTTGCTGATGATTGAGAGTAGCCTGATGGCGCTGTAATTGGCCGAGTTGGATTTGTCCTGCTTTTTGTGTATATGACATGCCTGGGCAATTCTCCACATTGCCAGTGTTCTATCTGTAATGGAAAAGCTTGGTTAGACAGGCGGCAAGTTATTTAGCAAAAGCCTTCAATACTATTGGCAAAATGTTGTCAAGGCCCATAGTCTTTGCAGTATCCAGTGCCTCCAGTCATTTCCTGATAGAACATGGAGTGAATCGAGTTGATTGAAGTCTGGCATCTGTGATGCTTACAACCTCTGGAGGAGGCCGCGATGAATCATTGACTCAACACTCCTGATTGAAAATTGCACAAATGCTTCAACCTTATCTTTTGCACTGATGTGCTGACGGCCCCATTATTGCGGATGGGATTAAGCTCTCTTTTTCCTGATGACTCCTACAAAGACAGGTTAGACAGCACCTTTTTAGGTGAGTTCCTCAGGGAAGTTCCAGAAAAACTGTTGTGCAGTATTGGTGAAGTCTTAACAAACCCACAAAGTCTTCCACTCTGTTTCAGAGTGTCCTGTTCATCACTCCAGCTGCATAAAATTGTCCCTTTAAATATTGAATATCTGTTCATGTAGCTCTGGAAATTGATTTGTTTACTAAACACACACATGAGCGGGGCTAATCACTGAAGCGTCAGCCATCACCGATCAGAAATGCTTAATGAGGGCGAGCAATCAGCTGTTTATCTAGTCTCTAGACACCAGTCCTGTACCACCTTCAAATGCTTTACACAAAGGTAATTTGCACTAAATCTAGCTCAAATGACATTGCTGCTTGAGATCTGTGTTGACTATCTCTTTACTCCTTCAGTGCCTTGGGTGACTGTGTGGAGTTTGCACATTCTCCCCATGTCTGTGTGGCTTTTCTTCGGCTGCTTCAGTTTCTTCACACAGTCCAAAGATGTGCAGGTTAGGTGGAACCAAAGACAGAACAAAAACCAGAACTGAGGAAGGGTCACCAGATCCAAAACGTAACTCTGATTTCCTTCACAGATACTGCCAGACCTGCTGAGCTTTTCCAGCACTTCTTTTTGTTTCTGATTTACAGCATCCACTGTTCTTTCAGTTTTCATGCAGGTTAGGTGGATTAGCCATGCTAAATTGCCCTGTAGTGTCCCGGAATGTGTAGGCTAGATGAATTGGCTAGTGTAAATATAGGCTTATAGGGATAGGGTGGAGCGTGAATCTGGGATGCACTGCAGAGGATTGGTGCCAACTTAAAGGGCTGTATGGCCTCAATCTACACTGTAGGGATTTTGTGGCTATAATTAAGGTCCTTGAGAAAAATCAGCCAAGCAACTAGGACAAAAATGTGGACAAGTGAAAACTCTACGTCTCAATATATCCATCAACATAAACAAAGAATGCTGGAGAAGCACAGCAGATCTGCAGCCTCTGTAGAGAGAAAAACAGAGTTAATGTTTCAAGTCCAATGACCTTTCATCAGAACTGAAGATAGCTAGTGAAAAATGGAATGTGTACTGCTAACATGCAGACATTGTTAAACTCAGTGTTGAAGGCTATTAGGTACCCAGGCGGGAGATGATATGTTGTTCCACCAAATTTAAACACACTCCCTTGTTCATTCCCTTCCCCCATACTCCTAGGATCTGTCTTGTATGGGCTGCTCCCGGTACAGCCACCCCATTTTCAAACATTTACACTTCTCATTCGCACTCCAACTGACTATTATTTCTCTCTCAGTTTATCACCAGCAATTTCTTTGTTTGCATATCCTTTTTTTCTCTGTCTGAATGCCATCTCCATGTGCTGTGGTCCCCAACCCCATGCCCCATTCTTAACCCAGCCTACATTCCATCAATCCCCAGCTAACTTCAGTTCTGACAAAGGTCACTGAACTTAAAATGTTAATTCTGTTTTCCCTCTACAGATGCTGCAAGACTTGCTGTGTTTCTCCAGCACTCTCTGTTTTTGAAACTAGATCAGCTCAGGTGTTAAGGGAAACCACTGGACACACCCATTTATGTAAAATGTGCATTAAACAATTTTTATTTTTTGAAATACTCAGAAAGTTTTTAAGCATTAAACAGGTTTTATTTTACATTTTGATTGTCGTACTGACACAAAGCACTTCATATATCACAGAAGTAGATGAGAATATGGATCTCAAAACACAATAGATCAGTGTAAAAACATATCTTTTTATTTTTCCATTTTTTTGGTTGTGGACCAAAATGGGAAAAGGACTGTTTTTAAAAAAAAACAAGGGTTGTCAAAGTATTACTGCAGGTTTCATGAACAAGTTACCTGACACTCATTGTAGATGCTGTTTATACAGCTGCTTGTTCAAGTCATTTCCAGACAATCTGGAATGAAGAGGCGTGCATGAATGGAGCTTTGGCCAGCAACAGATAACTGATTATGACCAGTTATTAGTGACAGCGGCCTTCTGCCTGACAACAACCATGTGATTGGCTCCCGTGTAACTGAACTGCTTGGGCCTGTAACTGATTTAGTAGAAACCATCAAACCACAGAAGGAGAAGGAGCTGATAAATAGGATCTCAAACCTGAAGATACTTTAATTTCCCTTTCCAGTTGCTATGCTGTGTGACTTTTAATGATAAGTCAAAGCCTTCTCTAATGCAAACATTCACCCTCTGGTTCCTGCAAACAAGCGAAAGTATTGGAAGAGGGAAGATAAAGAAGCAGCATTCTGATCAACACAAGGAACATCTCAGCAAACCCGATAGACAGGGACTACTAAACTGGCTTACCAGCCTTTCCCTTCACCCATAATACCAATGGTTTCTTTCTCCTATCTGTGTGTGTTTGTGAATATGTGTAGGGGGCGAGTTTATAAGTGGGTTAGAGTTTTAACAATTAGCATTAAAAGCTGATGTTCCATAATTGTTTACCTGTAACTAGAGTATTTATTTGTAAAAAACAATAATTCTTATTAAATATAGAAACCTGGCCTGTTCTTTCTGTCAACCTGGTATAAATTCTGTTTACTTTATAAACTCTTGTATGACAATTCCAGGAATAGTGGGACCACTACTACTCCAGCACACTAATTTTGTTGAATGAATGTGCAGGCGGAATGGTTTACTCCTGCTCCTAGTTGGTATATTTGTATACAAACAAATATGTTTTTGATAATATGATAGGCGGTACTTTTGACTGGAGAACAGGGAACCGCAAAAACAGTCATGATTAAAGGCTATCTGAAGAAATATGATCCTGAAGAACATCTGTCCAAGAGTTTGAATTTCTCATCTGCCACAGAACCCTACATGTTCCAGGTAATGTGTTTCACACATAGGAGCTCAAAAGGAGCTTAATGGATCTAATTCCAATTGTATGTCCAGTAGAAGCACTCATTTCACTTTAATTTGTTTTGCCAGGAATGAATGTTGGTAAATCACACCGTTTTACCCAGTGATTTTCTGCTAACCAAATAATCAGAAGTCAGACTCCTGAAGTCTCAGTTTCCAAATATATGATCAATTTGGTGTGGATCAAATGTCATGTTTACACCTTTCAGATAGTAAGCAGTCTTTGTAATAAGGAGCAAGAAGAACAAAAGCTCATATAGCTAAGTTTTTTTTTCAGTCAACTGGTTCAGAGATATTGTTACACACCTCTGGAGTAGGTAGGACTTGAACCCAGGCCTCCTGACCCAGAGGTAGGGACACTACCACCATGTCCTAAGAGCCCCTAGGTCATGGCTAAAACAATTGGTGGTAATCTGGTTCAGCTGACACAATAGTTAGGAAGTCCTACATGATCTAATCTTTGCAACTGGGGGAAATTCTAGCTCCTCCAAACAGTCTTTTTAAAACAAAGTATTATGACATGACATGCTTTGCTATTAATGCAGTGGCTATGTAATCATTGAATGTCTTATTGTTTCTTGTATTTTTGCTGCATGTTTGTAGTCAAATGAATGGAGGGGAAATAATGGATGCAATGTGGTTTGACAGTTAGAGAACAAGACAGGAGACAATGTTCCAAGAAAAAGGAGATGGAAGTAATGATTTTCTTTTCCAAAATTGACGGCAAAAAGCTATGGGACATGTTCAATTTACAGCAGGAAATCAGGAGAACTCTACGGTTAATTAAGGCCAATATTTCATGTAAATTACATTGAAACATTGAAGCTTCTTTCATATAATAATGTACAGAACTGTAGTAGTGCACTGGCATTAAATTCTACAAATAACAACAATAAGTACATTTCTTTGCAGAGAACTGTTGAAAGTTATGTAGAAAAACGTGTGGGGAGTACATATGGGCCACCAAGTGGACGGAAAATGACAATATTTGTTGATGATATCAACATGCCTGTTATCAATGAGTGGGGAGATCAGGTAAAATACTTAAAGTTTTAAAACTTCAGCTTAGCATTATTCACTGATGGGAGCTAAAGAAAGTTGAGACTTCTGCCTGAAACAGAGATACTTTCCTGATCCAACTGAATGTCTAAAAATTATGGCATTTGTAAATATTGTTAATATATTATTATTACATATAATTGAACTGAGTCAAGGCAAGTTCTTAAATTCTATCATGTTGATTTACCTGCCTGATGGCACTCAAGGATTTTGCACTGTTTGACAAAAATTGGATACTGTAAAATGATTAATTCTTATTCTACTGTACTGATTGAAGATTTATTTGATAGAGTTGAAAACACAGAGTTTATCAGCAGGATGCACATCACAAAAAGATAATGACAAGTGCCACTGACAAATCAAGCTTAGGAGATCTCTGCTTTGTAACTTCAAAGAACCTAAAGCAGTGTAAAGTGAGCCCTCTCAACGAAGTTTGCTCAAACTACTTTTCAAAGTCTTAACTAACCAAATGGGTAATGAACGGTTATACTGTGTTGCTATATTGACAACTTATTGATCTATGACGCATGAGAAACATCTCTATCCATTATTAGAAAGATTACACAAAATCTGATTTAGTGATAAATTCAGTAAAACTTAAACTTTCCAAAGCCAAGGTTACTTATTTGGGATACGGTGGCATGGTGGCTCAGTGGTTAGCACTGCTGCCTCACAGCACCAGGGACCTGGGTTTAATTGCACCCCTGTGCGACTGTGTGTACAGAGTTTGCACATTTTCCCCATGTCTGCATGGGTTTCCTCCGGGTGCTCCGGTTTCCTCCACAGTCCAAAGATGTGCAGGTTAGGTGGATTGGCAGTGCTAAATTACCCTAGTGTTCAGGGATGTGTAGATTAGATGGGTTATAGGGGTACGGGTCAGGGTGGGATGCTCTGAGGGTTAGTGTGGACTTGTTGGGCTGAAGGGCCTGTTTCCACACTGTAGGGAATCCGATGATTCCATGTTATGGGGCAAGGTCAAGTATTGCTAAAGAAGCTGTAGTTCAAATGAACAATTATGGATTTTCCTGTTTCTAAAACTAAATGAAAGATACCATAGCTCCTCAGAATGTATGGATTTTACACTCTGTCCCAAATTTCAGCATAGAAACCACTTTATTAACAAGCATTGTAGAAGGAGTCAGCAGAGGATAGAATACTGTGATCCTATGACTAGGCAAAATTTTGTCAGAATAAATGTGCCTGTATTAGCTGTTCCAAATGTAAACAGACTTTTCAAAATAACATGTAATGTCCTTGGTGTGAGGATGGGAACCATGTTATTGACAAGGTAATGATGCTAACGTAGAGCTTCCAGTTTTATATTTTATAAGAAAACTTAATCCTTGGGAGTGAAGATACTCCAAATTGGTAAAGAATCATTAAACATTGTTATGACTCTTCAGCAGTGTGAAATACATATTTTCAGAAATGGCAGAGGGACTGTGATCAACACGTACAATAATACACTATACATATTGTTAATTTTTCTCAGTTTTGTAAGTGAATAGCTTTAAATTTAGCTCACAGTAATTCAGTGAAAACAAAACAAACAACTAACGTTGTATAAGGTTTTGGAGTAGATCTGTAGCTCGGGTTGTGGGTGTTGAGATTGGTTGGCTCGCCGAGCTCGCCAGCCAACCTTAACGTTGTATAAATTTTAACAAATATAACCATTGAACCAGTTTTTGACATTTACTGTACTATGCGAGAAAAAGTCCCTAGAGTTATCCAGTATAATGTATTGGGCGTACCTTTGTCGTCTAACCAAGAAGTGCCAAACAGCCATCTAAAGTTCAAGCAACAATATTCGTCTTTTTTCTATGTTTCAGATCACTAATGAAATAGTGCGTCAGATGATAGAGATGCATGGAATGTACAACTTGGATAAACCAGGAGACTTTACAAATATTGTTGATGTACAACTAATGGCTGCAATGATTCACCCAGGAGGGGGACGCAATGATATTCCACAGCGGTTAAAGAGGCAGTTCACAGTCTTCAACTGTACTCTACCTACTGATGCTTCAATTGACAAAATCTTTGGTAATTTTCAACTTATCAGCTTTATACAAATACTATCATTACTTTTTCAGATATTTGTCCCATAAATAAACTATGCTGCTAATTTAAATGGCATTTTAATACCATTGAGAAATTAATGTTTGAACAAAGAATCTAGGCTGTAAAATAGGGCCTTCTAGTAACCACTGCTTTCAGTTCAATTAGATGAAAAATGTAATCGTTGTCATCTCACAGCAAAGTATAGCACAGCTTGTATCAGTCTCCATCTTTGAAAGGAAAATAATCAAGATATCACATATGCATCCTCGAAGCAAATGGAAAGGAAGATCATAAGCCAAGTCTTCTGGTCTCCAGATCACCAGTAGCTGAACATACAACTGAAGATAAAGCCTTCCACGAGGGGAAAGAATGTTTACCCTGTCAAGTCCCTCAGAATCAATTACGTTGCAATAGGTTGCCTCTCATTCTTCTAAATTCCAAACAGTATAGGCCCAACCGACTCGAGCTTTCTGCATAAGACAGTCCGTCTGTTTCCAGGATCAACTCAGTGAATCTTCTTTATACTGCCTCCAATGCCAGTAAACCTTTCCTCAGGTAGGGAGACCAAAACAGTTCACAATATTCCATCTGAGGTGTGACTAGTGCCTTGAACAGATTTAGAAAAAATTCCTTTTTTATATACTTTATTTTCTTTGAATAACGGCTAACATTCCATTTGTCTTTCCTATTGCCTGCTAATTACCTTACTATTGCATACAGTTCTGGTCACCACACTACCAGAAGGATGTGAATGCTTTGGAGAGGGTAGAGAAAAGGTTTACCAGGATGTTGCCTGGTATGGGGGATTTTAGCTATGAAGAAAGGTTGGATAGACTGGGTTTGTTTTCACTGGAATGCAGGAGGTTGAGGGGTGACCTGACAGAAGTTTATAAGATTGTGAATGACATGGATAGAGTGGAAAGAATGAGGCTTCTTCCCAGGGTGAACAGGTCAATTACTAGGGGACACAGGTTCAAGGTGTGGGGGGAGAAGTTTAAAAGAGATGTGCCAGGCAAATTTTTCATTCAAAGGGTGGTGAATACCTGGAATGCACTGCCAGAGGAGGTAGTGGAAGCAGGCACAATAGCAACATTCAAGAAGCACTTGGAAGAATACATGAATAGGAAGGGAATAGAGGGGTACAGATCCTGTAAGTGAAAATAGTTTTGGTATGGATGGGCAAAATGTGTTGGCATAGGCTCGGAGGGCCAAAGGGCCTGTTCCTATGCTGTATTGTTCTTTGTTCTTTGCTGAATGAGAAATGCTTGTGTTTTTTGTGATTAATGTGCAAGGTCTCACAAAATTCCTCTGTTCTTTAGCATTCTGCAGTCTTTCTCTATTTAAATAATGCTTAGCTCCTCTATAGTTAGAACATGCTCAAAGGGTCAAATTGCCCACTCTCGCTCCTAGTTTCTATGCTGCTTCCTGCCAAAGTGCATTACCTCACATTTTCCCATGTTATTATTCCATCTGCCATGTTCTTGACTATTCACTTAATCTGTCTGTATCCCTCTGAGAGTCTTTGTGTCATCCTCACCACTTGCCTTCCCATCTATTTTGTGTCATTCACAAATGTAGCCATGGTATATTTACATTCCTCATCTATGTTATCAATATATATTGTAAATAATTGTGACCACAGCACTGATTCCTGCAACAATCTACTAGTTACAGATTGCCATCGTAAAAAGGCTCCCTTAAGCCAAACTTCTGTCATCAATTAAGTATCCAATCCTCTGTCCATGCCAATAAACAACCACCAACACCAGCACTCCTATTTAATTAAATAGCCTTGCATGTGTTGCCTTATGAAATGTGTTCTGAAAATCCAAATAGATTGCATTGATTGCTGGGACATAGCAAGAACGGAAGTCAGAGTCAATACAATGTGGAGCCGGAGGATCACAGCAGGTCAGGCAGCAGCAGAGGAACAGCAAAGTCGACATTTCAGGTTGGACCCTTCATCAGGACTGGGGAGGGGGAAGGGAGCTCAGAAACAAAGGGGGGGTGGGGCTGGGTGAAGGCAGGTGGGGTGGGGATAGATGGAAACCGAAAGAACTGCAGATGCTGTAAATCGGGAACAAAAACAAAGTTGCTGGAAAAGCTCAGCAGGACTGGCAGCATCTGTGAAGGCAAAAACCGAGTTAACATTTCAGGTCTGGGAAGGGTGGGGTGGATAGGTGAGAAGGAAGATGTACAAGTTGTGTCACATCAAGGAAGCAGAGGTGAGAGGAAGGGCAGGACATGGCGGGGTGGGAGATTTTGAAGCTAGTGAATTCGATGTTGATGCCATTGTGGCATGGCATACTGCTCCCGATGTGGTTTCCTCCATATCGGAGAGACCAAGCGCAGACTTGCCGACAGATTTGCAAGATCATCAGCGCTGTGTAACTCCAGTCAACACCATGTTCCAGTTGTCAGCCAGTTCAACTCCCCTTACCACTACATTGGGGACATGTCGATCCTGGGCCGCCTCCAATGTCACAATGAGGCCACACGAAAATTGGAGGAACAACACCTTATATTCTGCCTTTGCAGCTAACAGCCCAATAGTCTCTACGTAGAATTCACTAGCTGCAAAATCTCCCCACCGCCAGCCTCATCCCATGTCTACCCCTCCCTCTCACTCCCGCCTTCTTGACCAGACACAGCTTGTCCATCTTCCTTCTCACCTATCTGCCCCACCCTGCCCATTGACCAATCTCCACAGCACCCTACCTGCATCCATCTATCCCTTCCCCCTTCCCAGTCCTGATGAAGGGTCCTGACCCAAAATGTTGACTTTCCTGTTCCTCTGATACTGCCTGACCTGCTGTGCTCCTCCAGCTCCACACTGTATTGACTCTGCTTCCCCTTTATCTATCCTACTTGCTACCTCCTCAAAGAATTCTAATAAATTTATGAGACACGATTCCCCTTCATGAAATCATGAAATCTGCTTGATCATATTGTATACCTCTAAATGTTTTGCTATTACAACCTTTAAAATGGACACTAACATTTTTCTGACATCTGAGATTAAGCCAACTGGCCTACAGTTACTTTTTTTTTATTCTGTCCCTTTTTAACCAAAAGTGGTATACTGGCAGTTTTCCAATGCTCTGTAACTTGTTCAGAATCTAATAATTTTTGGAAGATTACTACCGGTGCATCCATTATTTCTGCAGTTATTTCTTTCAATATCCTTAAACACATCCCATCAGAACTAGGTAGTTATCAATTCTTAGCCCCATTAGTTTCCCGAGCACTTTTTTCTGCAGTCAGAATTATTGTATGTATTTCCTCCCCTCCTTCTGCCCCTTGATAGTATTTTTAGGATGGTATCAGTGTCTTCTCCTGTGAAAACTGATGTATTTATTCAACTCCTGCCATTTCCTGGTTCCCCATTATTTTTCCCTGGCATTGTTCTCAAAGAGGCCTATGTTCAATTTGTCCTGTCTCTTCTCTTTTCTACCTTTAAAAAATCTCTTGCTGTCCATCTTGATATTATTTAACGTTAGCCCTCAAAGTTGATCTTCTCCTTCTATATCATTATTGTCATCATCCCTTGTCAGTTTTTAAAATTTTTCCAATCCTCTGTTTCATGACTGTCTTTCCTGTCCATAACATTAGCTTCAAAGGCAGGTTCCACTGCAGGGACTAAACAAAAAAAAACTGAGAAACTCAGCATGTCTCGCTGTATCCATGGGCAGAGAAACTGAATTAATAAAAACTGATTAGAGTTTTGAGGAAGGGGTCACTGAATCCGAAATGTTAGCTCTGATTCTCTCTACAGATGCTGCCAGATCCGCTGACCCCTTCCGGCAATTTATTTTGAAATTGAGTTAATGTTTGAGTCAAATGTGTCACTTCAGTTCCAAAGAAGGCTGTGGAATAGGCCTGATAACAGTAGATATGAACGATGTGCATCTGTTTGGATTGTCATGGTTTCCTTTTGGAGAGACAAGAAACATCTGTAGAGTGGAATATTGTCCTTAATTGCTAGAGGGATGGAGTTTAAAAACAGGGAGGTTATGATGCATCTGTATCGGGTGCTGGTGAGGCTACACCTGGAGTACTGCATCCAGTTTTGGTCTCTTTACTTGAGAAAGGATGTACTGGCACTGGAAGAGGTGCAGAGGAGGTTCATTAGGTTGGTTCCAGAGTTGAGAGGGTTGGCTGAGGAGGAGATTGAACTACTGGGACTGTACTCATTAGAATTTAGAAGAATGGGGGGGTCTTATAGAAACATATGAAATTATGAAGGAAATAGAAAAGATTGAAGCAGGGACGTTGTTTCCACTGGCAGGTGAAACTAGGAGTAGGGGGCATAGTCTCAAAATAAGGGGGAGCAGATTTAGGACTGAGTTAACGAGGAACCTCTTCGCAGAAAGGGTCGTGAATCTTTGGAATTCCTTGCCCAGTGAAGCAGTTGAGGCTACTTTACTGAATGTTTTTAAGGCAGAGGTAAATAAATTTTTGAACTGACGGTTATGATGAGTAGGCAGATAAGTGGAGCTGAGTCCACAAAGGATCAGCCATGATCTTATTGAATAGCGGAGCAGGCTCGAGGGCCCAGATGGCCTACTCCTGCTCTTATGTTCTTGTGAATTCATTTTAAAATTGTATGCTTTGCTGCAAAATTGGCACAAACTTCTACCCAACTGTCTTATTTTAACCAATGAGAGGAGAAAGATGGCGCTGCTTGTCTTCCAGGGCATTTTTGTTTTGCCTATGCTGGTATGTGTGTTAGGTGCCAGCAAGTATCTTGTGCTTGAGGAGGGAAGATTATAAGGAAAATAGAAGATGAGCATGGTGCCTTCTTACAGAGACACAGAATCTAATCAACATTGCATAGTTCAGCAACACTCCATTGGCCTCTGTCCTGCTAGTCACTGCAAAGGTAACAATTGCATTCAACCTCTGTACATCAAGAGACCTGGTCTCATGCATCCCAGTCAGCAACACACGGGTATATTAAAGCAGTGATTGTGTAGCCATGTTTCCTGTGAGGAAGAGCACATTAATCTCAGATGCAGAGAACCAGGGACTTTGTCTAATAAGCTACCTTCCCTCAAGGGCAGGATATCATTTATTGCACCTGGGATCATATAAAGAACCCAACTGAGCATGGTTTTTTTGTTTGATTTATTGTCACGTGTACAGAAATACAGTGAAAAGCTTTGTTTATGAATGGTACAGGCAGATCACAGCAAGCAAAGGATGTACAGATCAAAAAGACTTAGAGGCATACAGGTTACACTGCAGATTGCATTATTTGAGGCTAGAGTCCATTCAACAGTCTGACACCGGCCGGAAAGAAGCCGTTCCTGAACCTGCTTGTGCATGTGTCCAGGCTTCTGTATCTTCTGCCTGGTGGAAGAGGCTGTAGGAGGTCATTACCAGGGTGTGATGGGTCTTTGATGATGTTGGCCGCCTTTTTGTGGCAGCGAGCCGTGTAAGTAGAGTCCATGGATGGAAGGTTGGCTACCGTGATGGTCTGGACTGTGAACACCACCTTCTGTAGTTTCTTACAGTCCTGGGCAGAGCAGTTGCTGTACCAGGCCGTTATGCACCTGGACAGTATGCTTTCAATGGTGTATCTGTAGGAGTTGGTGAGGGACCTTATGGACATGTCAAATTTCCTGAGCCTTTTTGTCTGTCGCATTTACGTGAGAACTCCAGGACAGGTCCTCTGTTATCATCATTCCGAGGAACTTGACGCTCTCCGACCTCTCGACCTCCACTCCATTGATATAGACGGGGATGTGTTCTCCTTCCTTTCTGAAGTCGATGATCAGTTCCTTAGTTTTGCCGACGTTGAGAGACAAATTGTTTTGATTGCACCATGTCACCAAGCCTTCTATCTCCCATCTGTATTTTGACTTGTGATGTCATCAGTGAACTTGTAGATGGCGTTCGTTTGGAATTTGGCAACAGAGTTATAAGTGTACAGGGAGTACAGTAGGGGGCTGAGGAAGCATGTAGACACTTTCTTCAATTCTATGTCCTTCCACTCAACAAATGTTCACTTCAATCAAATTCAGCTGTGAGGATAGATTGAAGAAGTTGGGACTGTTGTCCTTGCAGAGAAGGAGGCTAAGAGTAGATCTGATAAAAGTTTCCAAAATCGTGACTGGGCTAGCTAGATTTGATAGGGAGAAAAGAGTTTGAGGACATAGCTTTAAAGTGATATGCAAAAGTAAAAGGGATGAAGTGAAGAAAAAAGTTTTTACTTTGAGTAGTTAGTATATGGAATGCACTGCCTGGAAGTGTGGTGGAGGTAGGTCTCATCAAGGCATTCAAGACAGCATTGGTTAATTATTTGGAAAAAATAATTTGCAAGGGCAAGAGTGAGAAAACAGGAAATTGGCTCTTGGTAATGATGTTCATTTAATGACCTGGTGCAGGCATGATGGGCTGAATGGCCTCTTTCTATGCCATAACACTTCTGTGAATACCCAGATGGTTTGTGGCCACATCAAGAACTGTTTTCATGGTTCCCTGATAGCTGCCATGGTTCCTTCATGAATAGGAATTCACAACTCTCTTAGCTGTTTCATTCACCAACTCAGATCTCAGGACAAGGAGTAATGTTTAAGAACTTGATTGGTGATCTCCCATAGCACCCCATAATTAGAGGAAGAGCACAACTATTACAGGAGCTGTGCCATCACCAAGAGTACCATCAAATAGGCCTTTAGTATTTTAAATATGCACGTCAGGTCCAAGAATATAAAAATAAATCAATTAGATTATATTGAAACATTTCTTTGATATTTTCCACTATCTCAAATTACCTCCATTTTTGAGCCCCTATGACATTAACCTGACAAGTTATGGAACAAAATCAAAATTTAGGTTTCCATGTTGTCAAGCAGGATTATTAAAATAAATGCCAATCCAATAAAGTTTTGTTTGTATTTTTGGCAGGAATTATTGGAAATGGATACTTTCACCCAGCAAGACTCTTTACTTCTGAAGTCACTGACATGATAACAAAACTTGTTGTCACAAGCAGAGTCCTTTGGCAGTGGACAAAGGTACTGATGCTACTAGAAATGGTTATATGTTCTTGATTTCTATTCAAACATTTAAAATGAATAAAATATCAAATCAGACAAACTGTGGATTAACAAATAACTGCTAGACAGTTCAGCTAAGCTTCTTAACAAGCTTGCAGCTTTAAAATTATAAGTTAAAGAAAGTTAACTGTTAGCCTAAATTATAGCTTGAGAAAAAACTATCAGTGATTTTATCAAATTACCAAGTGAGCACTTATTCCTCATTACACTCAGACCTCCCCATCTTCACTCTGTGCTCCCATGCAAAAAACTCCTAAGAAATTTATCAAAATTATTTCCCTTTTGCAAAATCACGTTGATGCTTTCTGATCATAAAATGGTTTTCAATGTGCATTGTTAAGAGTTCTTTGATAATAAATTTTACTTGGCCTGGAGTTCCCTGTTTTCCTTCTCACTCCTTTCCTGAATCGAAATGTTATATTTCCAAACTTAAAGATTCTAGCAACCAGTCTACAGACTGCAACTTTTAAATAATCACAACCAGTGCAGACAATTCATTCTCTCCCAGAATTTCAGGCTGTTAATCTATTGTATTAGTTGCATTAAAAGTTCTTGATTTAATCTGATAATATAATTTTATTTTGGAATTTGTATAATGAAAAACATACTGATGGCTTCAGGTGTATAATTTCTAACTTTAACAATGTTGAAATTAATCTTTGAAGAAAATGTGAAATGAAAAGACACTGAACAAATCATCAAGCTCTTACAATAAACCCACTTTTCTTTTCCATTGAACTGTGTGAAAAAGAACTTAACGTGGTATATTAATAGAAATGCCTATTCACAGACAGCTGATTGTATTGTTACCCAAGAGTAATTTCACCTCCGATCATTCTTTGCACATTTTGAAGTTTGCTTTGTTGTTCTAATTTAGGTGAAAATGCTACCCACTCCAGCTAAATTTCATTACATCTTTAATCTGAGGGACCTATCTCGCATCTGGCAAGGAATGTTGAACATAAAGTCTGAAGAATGCTCTGATCTGGAGACACTCCTGGCTTTGTTCAAACATGAATGTACCAGGGTCATTGCAGACAGGTAATTACAATGCTATGGGAGGGAAATTGCATCAAATAGTTCATGAAGGTTACTATTAGCAATGATTGTAGAGGGGAGGTGATGGCCTAGTGGCATTACTGCTAGATTATTAATCCAGAGACCCACATAATATGATAGGACCTGAAAGTTGAATTCAGCCATGTAATTTGAATTAAATAAAAATTTGGAATTAAGAGACTCATGATGTCCATGCAATCTCTGTCAATTGACAAAAAAAAACCATCAGGTTCACTAAAATCCTTTCGGGAAGGAAATCATTACCTAGTCTGGCCTACATGTGACTTCAGACAGGCAGCAATATAGTTGACTCTTAATTGCATGCTCAGTCAATTGTAGCCTTCATGTAAAGAGCAGTCACTCTCACCGCACCACCGGAATTCAGCTCTTTTGTCCATGCTTGAACTAAGGCTATAAGGAGGTCAGGAAATGAATGGTCCTGCTGGAACCCAAACTGTGTATCAGAGTGAGCAAGTTACTGCCAAGCAGATGCTGCTTGATACTTTGCATCACTTTACTGATGATTGAGAGAAGATTAATGGAGCAGTAATTGGCGGGGTTGAATTTCTCCTGCTTTTTGTGTACAGAACATAACTGGACAGTTTTCCTACTGTCAGGTAGATACTGGTGTTGTAGCTGTACTTGAATAGCTTGGCTAGAGGAGCAGCAAGTTCTAGAGCACAAATCTTCAGTAGTGTTACTGGAATGTTATCAGGGTCCATCACTTTTGCAGTATCCAGTGTTTCTTGATATCACATATATTTGGGGATATTTATGGAAGCTCCTCCTCCAGTTCAGTGTTTAATCGTCCACCAGCATTCACTACCCAATGTACTGGACTTCAGAATATAGATGTGATCCATTGTCGAATCTTTTAGCTCTGTCTGTCTGTTGCTGCTTATGTTGTTTGGCATGCAAGCAGTCCTGTTTTGAATCTTCACTAGGCATTTTTAGGGATGCCTGGTCCTGCTCCTGGCATGCCCTCCTTCAATCTTCATTGAACCAGAGTTGATCCCCTGGCCTGATGGTAATGATAGAGTGGGGATATATTGGGCCATCAGGTTGCAGATTATGTTGGAATACAGTTCACTGCTGCTGATGGCTCATAGCATCTCATGGAGGTCCAGTTTTGAGTTGCTGGACCCTGTTCAAAGTCTGTCCCATTTAGCACAGTAATAGTGCCACACAACACGATGTAAGGTACTATCAATGTGAATGCAAAACTTTGTCTCCACAATGAGTGCATCACTCTTATTGATACTGTCTTGGACAGATGCATCTGTGGTAGACAATTGGCGAGGATAAGGTCAAGTACCTTTTCCCTCTTTCTTTATTCCCTCACCACTTGTCTCAGACCAAGACATGCAGCAATATCCTTTAGGGTTCAACCAGCTAGAATACATTTTGTGCCCCTGCCATCCTCAGTGCTTTTTCCAAGTTTTGCTCAACAAGCAGGAGCACTGATTTATCACTTGAGGGAGGACAATAGATGGTACTCAGCAGTACACCATCAATGTCAGGGCTCAGCTTAAGCAGGTATGTATCCACTCCATTCCACGAGATAGACTGCACTGGCTGAACAAAGTAGCTCGCCCATGGGCTAGAATCTAGGACCAGATAAAGTTAAACTGTATTGACCATCATAGTCCCTTCACCATCAAGTCACTCCCATTTAAATGTCTCCATTCACCCAATACCACTCCTTTTAGTTAATGCCATTTTTATAACACACTTAGAGAAGTAAATCTACTTGTTTCGATGTAGTCTTGGTTCATTTGCTAATGTACATATGTGTTCCTTGAAATCATGCTTTCAACAGCCTTGCAGATGTCTTCCTTCCCCTCTGAAATTTCAACAGTTTCTGCTTTTAGAGCTTTTTTTTTCCTTTTTTTCTTCATGAGTGGCTCAGGATTTATTGCCTTAGCCCAGTGTTGTTGGAGACTATTAATAACAGCACTTCTGTTGTTACGAATCTCTTTTCTCTGAATGAAACTACACAATGCTTGTCTTTGACTAGATTACTCTGACCTTCTGTGTTACTGGACATGTCACTTGGCAACACCAGTTTTTTTCTAAACCATCTTTTCTTCTAATGCTTTGAACTGTTCACCTCAAGAGCTTAAATACCTAATTTAAATGCCTGCCACAGAGTCATAGAGATCCACAGCACAGAAAGTGACCCTCAGCCCATCATGTCTGCTGTGGTCAAAAACAACCACCTAACTGTTCTAGCCCCTTTTCCAGCTCTTGGCCCATAGCCTTGTGTGGCTTGACATCACAAGGGCACTTCTAAATATTTCTTGAATGTTATGAAGATTTCTGCCTGTACTACCCTTACAGGCAGAGAGTTCCAGATTTTCACTACTCTTTGGATACAGAAGTTGTTCCTTTCACCTCCTCTAAACCTTCTGCTCCTTGCATTAAATTTATATCCCCTGGTCATTGCTCCGTCCGTCAAGGGGAAGAACTTTCTCATGTCTAGCCTGTCGATACCACTCAAAATGTTATACATCACAATCATATCCTGTCTCATTCTCCTCTGCTCTGAGGAAAACCACCCCAATCTATCCGTTATCAAGTCATAACTGAAATTCTCCAATCCAGACAACATCCTGGTAAATCTCCTCTGCATCTGCTTCAATGCAATCACATTACTTCTATAATGTGGATTCCAGAACTGCACATAACACTCTAGCTGTGGCCTAACTGATGTTTTATACAGCTCCAGCATAACATCTCTGCTCTTAAACTGTATGCTTTAGCTAACAAAGGCAAGTATCCCAAATGCCTACTTAAATACTTCATCTGCCTATCCTGATTCTTTAAGGGACCGGTGTACTTGCACACCACGGTTTCTCTGATCCTCGGTGCTTCCCAGGGTCCTACTGTTCATCATGTATTCTCTTGCCATGTTTGTCCTGCCCAAGTGCATCACTTCACATTTATCCAGACTGTATTCTATTTGCCGCTGATGAGCCCATCTAATCAGCCCATCTATATCCTCCATGCTGAGAGGATGTTTAATCTTATGGGAGACTCCAGCACTAGAGATTATGCTGGAAGAGTTTAATATGCTGTTTAGGTCACGACTAGAGTACTGCATGCAGTTCTGGTCACCACATCATAAGAACGCTATGACTGCACTGGAGAGGATGCAGAGGTGATTTACCAGGATATTGTCTGGGTTGGAGGGTCTGAGCTATGAGGAAATATTGAATAGGCTAGGGTGCTTTTATTGGAGCAGCAAAGTTTGAAAGGAAACCTAACAGAGGTGTATGACATTATGAGAAACATTGATAGGGTGGATAATAATGTACTTTTTCCATTATTAGTGGGGTCAATAACCAGGGAATGTAGATTTAAGGTAAGAAGTAGAAGGTTAAGAGGTGAGTTGAGACATTTTTTTACCCAGCAGGAAGTGAGACTCTGGAAATCATTGTCTTAAAGAGTGTTTGAGTCAGAAACAACTGTAACATTTTACATATTCATTTGTGTTTGCCATAGCCTTCAAGGCCATGGACCAAGATTTAGGGAATAAGATTAGTGTAGTCACATCCTTTTAGACTAGTGCAAACAGGAAGGGCTAAATGGCTTTCCATCTGTGCTGTAAATATCTGCAACCTCTATGAGAATTAAATTGGCTGTGATGCTGGGAATCTCTGGAGGAGGCTGAGATGGATCACCCAAGTTGACATTTTTGGCTGAAGATTGTTGCGAATGCTGGGATCCCCCATCATTGAGGATGGTAATATTTGTGGAACCGTCTCCTTCAGTGAGATGTTTAATTGTCCACTACCATTCATGACTGTATTAGATCTGATCCTCTTGTTTATAGAATCGTTTAGCTCTATCACTTTGTGCATATGCTATTTGACATGCAAGTTGTCCTGCCTTGTAATTTCACCAGATTGACATCCACTCTTCACTCCATCAAAAAAAGAAAAAGTCGATCATATTATGGTTGCTCCTATATCCTCCTTAGCTTGGCTACCTTTCCCCACCTGATTTTTCCTGTCCATACATCGTTAAAATTCCTCATGATTATCAGCACAGTTTTTTTGTCAAGCTCCTAATTTTTTACACACCAATCTTATCATGTTGTTATTGGTTGATCCTTTTATACCATTCCCATGAGTGATATCTGACCTTGTCTTTCTCATCTCTAGCCAAACATTTGATTTTCTGTACTTTGACCATTACTCTCTATTGAGCTCATCACATTATTAATAAATACAGGCACCCCCCCACCCTTTCTGAGTTGCCTGCCCTTTTTAAATGCCATCAATCCTTCAACATTCAGGTCACAATCAATGTCATCCTGCAACCATGACACTGTCATAACTATCAGATTGTCACATAATTATTTGTATTTACATGGTCAATTCATCTGTTTTATTTCAAATCTTACGTGCATTCAATGCCTTTAGATACAGAGATATTCAAATACAGAGTCTTTAGTTTTACCCATGGTTTATTTTTGTAACCAATAGGTTTCTCCCTTGACTTACTCTTAGATTTGTTCTCTCTTTCCCCTCCTTTCATGATCTGTTTATCACTTACCATATTGATACCTTTCTCTCTTTCCTTGCGTTAAATCTTTGAGTTGTCACAGCTTGCCAGTGTCCAGGTAATTTGCCCCTCCCTGATATGACATGGTGTCTGTAGCCAATCTTCCAGTTCACAAATTCTAAGCTGAAGCTGCTCAAGTTGCAAACACTTACAACAGGCATGTTTACCCTGAACCACTGGCATTCAGGACCCCTGACAAAAGCAATCTTTATTGTGTCTTCATTAATAATTAGTTAAATATATGTTTAGTTAGTTCCTAAATAATTTAATGTATCTTTGCATTACCATGTATTGTACCAGCCTAAACATTAGAATGTAATACTTTACTATTTAGGAATAAGATACATAATAAAATCCTTAGTTTCTTATTTACCTTCTGATGGAGTTCCTTAAACTAGGTAATTACAGGCTGTTTAAAATAAAATACATTTGTTTTAATTTCAACACTTTTTACATAACAGAAGTTAGTTAACAACCAATCAACCAATCAACTCACCACTTTCCTGTGATGTCAATGTCTGACTTTCCTCTTGTAATGCTCCTGGTTAGTTGTTTTATTGTTCACTCCCATTCACGACTATAAGTGTCAAGACTACAGAGCTTTAACCTTATATATTGGTTGTCAGAACACTTAGCTCTATCAGTTGTTTGCTGTTTCCCCCGCCTGTCAAGTAGTCCTGTTTGACACTTCAGATGTACCTGTTGCTGTTCCTGGAGACTCTCTTGACTTCTTCAGTGAATCAGGAATGATTATTTTGCTTTGCTAATAATAATAGAGTGGGTACTATGCTGGGCTATGAAATTAGAGACTGTGGTTGAAAATAATTCTTCCACCATTGTTGGCCTACAGCACTTCATGGTTGCCAGGTTTTACCTGCTAGATTTGCACTGAATCAGGGCTTTAACTTCATGTGGATTGTTTAATAGCCAGACCTACCAATATTATCAGGGACAGATTCATCTTCCAGTACCAGATTAGGGTAAAGACAAAATCTAGTAGGATTTTCCATTCTGTTGTTTACTAGTTGCCACAGACAAAGTTTTGGGCCTCATAACTATGGAAGAATGTGCTGCCATTAGATGGTGTCTCAAGGAGGTCTACAAGAAGGATTCCAGGGTTGAAGGGCTTGTCAGCTGAGGGGTGGTTGATAATTCTGGGTCTGTACTCAATGGAAACTGAAAGAACTGCAGATGCTGTAAATCAGGGACAAAAACGAAGTTCTGTTCTGAGTAAGGGTCACCGGACCCGAAACGTTAATTCTGTTTTCTCCTTCACAGATGCTGACAGACCTGCTGAGCTTTTCCAGCAACTTTGTTTTTGTTCCTGTACTCAATGGAATTTAGAAAAATTTGGGGTATGTCACTGAAGCTTACAGACTGAGAGGCCTGGATAGAGTGGACTTGGAGAAGATATTTCCACTAGAAGGAAAGACTAAGACCCAAAGTCACAGCCTCAGCGTGAAGGCACTGCCCTTATAAAACTGAGAAGAGGAGGAATTTCTTCAGCCAGAAGATGGTTGATCTGTGGAACTTATTGCCAGCTGTGGAGGCCAGGTCATTGAATGTATTTAAGAAATAGATAGTTTTGTGACTGGTAAGAGGACAAGGCAGGAGAATGGCATTGAAAATCATATCAGCCATGATGGATTAGATTTATTCGTCCAAATGACCTAACTGTGCTCCTACATCTGTCTCATTGTCTAAGTCTGACAGATAAGTCAGATAAGTCAGAAAGTCAGACTGATTCATTAGCTCAGTAAGCAGATCAGCTCAGTGTGCTGCTAAGCCAGTCTTGTTGATGGACATTGCAGAGCCCCCAACCAAAGTGTATTGTGTGCCCTTGGCATCCTCAGTGCTTCTTCCAACCGCAATCCAAATTGGAACTCAGTCAAAATGCAAGGTGACAATCTTCAGAACATTCTCTCTAACTATCTCTATATATTTTAAAAATACAAACATAGAAGTTCAGAAAGCACATCAAATAAAGTAGTTATCTTCATTGCATTAAAATTTCTAATGATTAATTAGTGACTTTTTGGTTACTTCATAGATTTGTAAGTCAAGAAGACAAAGATTGGTTTGAAAGTGCAATTGCTCGTGCAATTGAAAAAGTTGTTGGAAGAGCAGTAGCAGAGAAGATTCATGAAGAGCCGTACTTTGTTGATTTCCTTCGGGAAATGCCAGAGCCAACTGGTGATGAGCCTGAAGATTTTGTCTTTGTTGTTCCAAAAGTCTATGAAATGGTACATCGTAGCTTTGTTAGCTTTCAAGAGATGTTGTTCATTCTGTTGTTAGATCCTGATTAAAAATAGCTTCTGTTCCTTTTTAAACCACAACCCTATGTACTTGTTTTCTTAAGGACATCTCTCAATTCATTATTTTTATAGATATATATACAGTTTTCACTTAAATCTATTCTTATGAACTGACATCAAATTTATGATGAAACAGAGCTTTGTTAATTCTCTGGTAATGCATGTAGCAGTCTTCCTTCTCATGAGGTGACAGTTTGTACCATCATGTTAAACATAACCTGGTGTTGCTCAGGAGCCCCAATCTGGCACAGTAGTGTCTGCCACATTTGTTGCGGGAGTCATTGGCCTTTTCTCGGCACTTGAACTTTTCATTCTTTCTTATCTCTTTCAAAATCCTTTCCACAGTCAACCTCCAGAGATCACAGCCATTGGCGACTGTCTCTCAATTGATATAGTCCCACATAAGAGCGTGTTAACTGAGGTAGAAACCCATGGAATTGAGTGAAATTACTGACATGGCTGGAACATGGTTGAGTGGCAGGTGACAGAAAGTAGGGATAATGAGTAGGTATTCAAATTGGCAGAATATGACCAATGGTGTCCCACAAGGATCTGTGTTTGGTTCACAATTATTCACGTTATTTGGACTTGGACAATGTCCAAATTTGCTGATGACATAATGTTAGGCTGCAATGTAGACAGCGTGGATATTGATAGACTAGATGAATGGGCAAAACTGTGGCAGATGGAGGCAAAAGTGTGTTATCTATTTTGGACCAAAAAAGGATAGATCAGATGCTACGAAGTTGTGTAGACTACTCATGAATTGGAAGACAGGAAGCTAAAATGTGTTTGTAAAAATAACGAGGGAGAAAAATGTGTGAGATTTGTGAGATAAAGTGCTTTTCTCAGCTTGAAGGTTAAAACAGAAAATGTCTGCAAGCAGCTGCACAGAGATTTCATGAATTGAAACATGTGTATCGAAGGGTTGTACCTGTTAGAGGGCAAAGCAGCATTTTTACCAAGACAACAGATTTTAGAATTTAGCCAATAAATTTAAACCAGGCCCGAGATACTGAAAGCCAATTAAAGTTAAATCTGCTGGTGTTGATAACCTGGGAACAATCCTAGTGTAAGAAATGGACAGGTCATCAAGAGTATTAAAAAAAAGAGGGCATATGGAAAATCAGCAGAGAGCCAACTGCCATCTGAGGAGAGAGCCAACAGAAGTGAAAGCAAATCTGCCATCTGAGACATAAACCTGGCTTTCACACAAAATTGTTAAACTCTCTAAAAATCCCTATCAAAGGTACCTGGCATTTTTAGTTCAAAGTCCTCACAGAAGAAATTACAGGGAGAACAGCAGAAAGAGAAGACGTTCCTGACAGATGATCAGCGGAGGAGACAGAATTTTCTGGAAGACACATTCTGTTTGAACATGGAGACATTAAGTCTTAATTTATTGTTGTTTTATTAATTGGGTTTATACAAGTGGAACTTTATTTGAACAGCATTCCAGTAGAATTTAGTTCAGTTAGGGAATAGTTAGTTCAGGGAGGAATTGTTTGGTTTGTTAGTAATTCTGTTAATTTGTTCATTGTTAAGGTTAAATTAACAAATTGTTACTTGTTATTTACAGAGCGGATCAGGGATTTTCTTTCTTTTAACCACTCTTTGAACAGATTATGAGGGGAAAGGCAAGCTTCTCTTGGTGTTTCAGGGTAATTATTAGAAAGGAACCTCTGCTCCCGTCATAACAGATTGGTGCTTGTGTTTCAGGTTAATTATTCAAGGACTCCAACTTCCCCTTTATAACACAGGGTACTTTCTAGATGGTATGAAGTTAAATACAGTGGATGTCCAAAGAGACTCGGGCATTCAGGTGCATAGATTGTTAAAATGTCACAAACGGGTGCAGAAAATAGTCAAGAAGGCTAATGGAATGATAATCTTTATATCTAGAACATTGGAGTACAAGGATGCAGATATATAACTGCAGCATTACAAAGCCCTGGTTACAGTGGAGTACTGTGAGCAGATCTGACATCATACCTTAGGAAGAAGTACAATGTAGATTTACAAGAATGATACGTAGACTTCAAGTTATGAGGAAGGATTATATAGATTAGGGATAACACAGTGTGGGGCTGGAGGAACACAGCAGGCCAGTCCCGATCCGAAACGTCAGCTTTCCTGCTCCTCTGATGCTGTCTGGCCCTGCTGTGTTCCTCCAGCCCCACACTGTGTTATCTCTGACTCCAGCATCGGCAGTTTTTACAATCTCTTATATAGATTAGGCCTGTTTTCTTTAGAATTTAGAAGGTTAAAGTGTGATATGGTCAAAGTCTTCAAGATAATAATAGAAAAAGACAGGTTAGATAAAGATAAACTGTTTCCACTGGTTCTAGATTATAGAACAAAGGAACGTAATCTAAAGGTTAGGGTTAGACTGTTAGGAAGCACTTCTTTACACTAAATGTGGCAGAGGTTTGGAACTGTCTACCACGAGCAGCAACTGATGCTAAAGCGATTGTTAATTTTAAAATCTGAAATAGATCATTTCTTGTTTAGCAAAGGAATTAAGGGATGTGGGCCAAAGGCAGGTCTATGGAGTTAGGCCACGGATCAGCCATGATCTCATTGAATGGTGGAACAGGCTCAAGGGTCTGAATGGCCTACTCCTCTTCCTATGTCATAGAGTCACATAGCATGGAAACAGACCCTTCAGTCCACCCAGTCCATGCAACCATGTTCCCAAACTAAACTAGTCCCACCTGCCTGCGCTTGGCCCATATCCCTCCAAACCTTTCCTATTTTAGATATTTTTTAAATGTCTTTTAAACATTGTAACTGTACCTGCATCCACCATTTCCTCTGGCAGTTCATTCCACACACGAACCACTCAGTGCAAAAAATAGTTGCCCTTCGTGTCCTTTTTAAATCTTTCACCTCTCACCGTAAAAATATGTCCCCTAGTCTTGAACTCCCCCACCATAGGGAAAAGACCCTTGTCATCTTATCTATCCTCACAATTTTACAAACCTCAATGAAGTCATTCCTCAACCTTTTTACACTCCAGTGAAAAAAGCCCCAGCCTTTCCAGTCTATTTTTATATCTCAAACCTTCCATTCCTGGCAACATCCTGATAAATCTTTTCTAAACACTCTCCTGTTATTATTAATATCCTTCCTACAACAAGGTTCCAGTGGCTTATACTCCAGAAGGTCCCAACAGCGGTGAGAATTTCGCCTCTCCTACCGCATAATTGTGAAATGGATGACAAAGAAGCTGTTGTGGTGGGGATGATAGTGTGTGAGACATCACTGTGAGACATGATGGTACACCCACCATGAAACTCCCCAAAAATTACAGTTTATATAAACATTAGAGAATCCAGTGTTTGATCTTAATAATAATATTTTTCCATTATCAAAATGATAAAATGTAAACATTTATAATGGTTTTGTAGAAAAAAGAAATTAATGTTCCATTTGGCTGAACTGAAAGGCTAGAGTTCACCTCAAATTGTACCTTGTTTCAGTATGATTGAGCTAATCTGCCAGCATTCCAATTTCAGACAATTTGTTTGCCTCAGACAATGTAAAGAAGGCAAAAAGAGTCCCTCAGCCATGCTTGGGAGACCAGTAAGCACTCTGTTTTCCCTAGGTTCTATCCCAGAGGGAAATCTATGAGTTTGGAAAGACATACTGATCACACTAGACTTGTGTAGAATACAAGATGAATACACTTTGAAGAATACATGATGAGTTGGACCAGGATTTCTCATACGTTAGTTTTACTGGTGTATACTTCTGAGGTAGCAACAATATAACTGTTTTAAAGAACTGTTCTGAGGAAGGGTCACCGGACCCGAAACATTAACTCTGTTTTTGCCTTCACAGACTTGCTGAGCTTTTCCAGCAACTTTGTTTTTGTTCCTGATTTACAGCATCCGCAGTTCTTTCGGTTTTTAACTGTTTTAAGGAACTTGTTTTTTCGTGTCTCACTCCCTAAGTGGCAGTGAAGGCCAAAGAATCCTGACCCAGGCAGGCCTCGAGCCCAAAACCTGGGTAGCCCCTCTAGTAGAAAATCATTCTTGTGTACTGAATTGTAAATACACTTGGAAGAGGCAAATACTTAATAGGGTAATTACAGATTATTCTGAAGGGATGAGGTATATTGCATTAATGGCATTCTTAACATTTCATTACCTTTATAATGTTATCTTTGTGATGTTCTAATGACTGTAATGTTTTTCAGATCCCAAGCTATGAATTCCTGACTGAAAAGTTGCAATTTTATCAGTCACAACATAATGAAAGTGTCCGGTCGGGCTTTTTTGATCTAGTCTTCTTCAAGGATGCAATGACGCACTTGATGAAAGTGAGATTTTAGAATTTTCATTAATCATAGAATGTGCTGTAAATATTATATCTATGCTTTTCGTAGAAGTTGGCCAGAGCAGAAAAGAAGAAAAACAAAGTTCTGTAAACAATTATCCCCAAAAAAAATTCAAAGATTCGATAAAATTCCAAATTTCATTCAGATCTGGTCAACATTTTGTAAACTAGCTTTATTCCTAACATTAGAAAATTTCCAATGTAAATTACAGTTCTTCATAAGAGATCAGTTACATTCAGCACCGGCCCTTTTGCCACTATGCCATCCAAGTTTACAAAGCAGCTTTTTCTGCCTATCTATCAAGGATGTATCCTTGGCCCTTTCCTCTTTCTCATTCATTACCACAGGAAGTAGTTGATGCCAAAACATTGAATGTATTCAAGAGGCAGCTAGATATAGCACTTGGAGCGAATGGGATCAAAGGTTATGGGGAGAAAGTAGGATTAGGCTATTGAGTTGAACGATCAGCCTTGTTCGTGATGAACGGCGGAGAAGGCTCAAAGGGCTGAATGGCCTCTTTCTGCTCCTGTATTCTATGTTTCTGTGTTCATGCTGTCTCTTGCTAACATCATGCAAGAGCACTGTGTTATTTTTCACACATCCGCTGATGACACACAGCTCTTCATCACCATCATCTCTATCAACTCCTCCACTATAGCTAAATTATCACTCTGCTCATTTGATATTTACTGTTGGATGAATAGAAATCCCCTCCAATCAAATGTTGAGAATACTAGAGTAATTGATTTCAATACACATTTGAAACTCTGTTCCCTGACAAGCATCCTTCATGCTGGTAACAGCCTGAGATTAAGCTAGTCTGTTCATAACCTTGGTGATACATTTGATTCCAACTTCTCACCTTGTTTTTCTCTAACAGTAAGAGTTTCTCTGCTCCTCCAATTCTGGCCTATTGAGCAAGCTCAGTTATAGTTACCCACTAATTAGTGAGTGATTTTAGATGGTTCAGTCACAAATCTTTGAAATTCCTTATATTCATCTCTCTGCCTCTATCTCACTTTTCTGTATTCTTTTGCATGTCTAACCAGAAGATAATGTAAACACTGATTTCATCTTGAGCTTTCCCTCATAAGTGCTTAATGGTGGCATATCCCTGGTAAACGAGATATGATGTAAGTAAGGACACAAGAAGCAGAGATTTAGACACGTTTACAGACAGTAGAATGTTGGACCTTGGCCCAATGGATGTTGGGTGCTAGAATCTGTCTGTGTGGAGTTTGCACATTCTCTCTGTGTCTGCGTGTGTTTCCTCCAGGTGCTCCAGTTTCCTCCCACAGTCTGAAGATGTGCAGGCTCGGTGGATTGGCCTTTCTAAATTACCCATAGTGTTCAGGCATGTGTAGATTAGGTGTGTTAGCCATGGGAAATGCAGGGTCACAGGAAAAGGGTACAGGGTTGGTTCTGAGTGGGATGCTCTTCGGAGAGTCAGTGTGGACTTGTTGGGCTGAATAGCCTGTTTCCATAGTGTAAAGATTCTATGATTCCGTGATTCTAATGCTAAGAGAGGGATGGTTGAGGGTTTCAGCAGCAGCTCAGCTGAGGCAGAGTCACAGTCAGGCAACCATAGGGAGCTAGAAATAAGCAATCTTCATGATGATATGGATTTGTAACCATTTTCAAAACAGCATTATATCAGACTTGAAATATTAACTTTGTTTCCCTCGCCACAGATACTGCCAGACCTGCTGAGTTTCTCCAGCACTTTGTTCTTATTTAACAATCAGAAACTCATGTGAGCTCAATATACAATCAAGACCGCAAACCTCTGGTTCAATCCATTACCAATGAGAGCGATGGAGTAGGTGGTTAGGAAGCAGAATTTGTTGAGGAACTAATTATAATAGGGAGATGTCAGGATTTTCAGGGAGATGGCAGAGGTAAGTTCTTTACACAGAGAGTGGTGGGCGTGTGGAATGCGCTGCCAGCAGTGGTCGTGCAGTCAGATACTTTAGAGACTTTTAAGCGACTCTTGGATAGGCACATGGATGATAGTACAATGTAGGGTATGCAGGGTAGTTTGATCTTGGTAGGATAATAGGTCAGCACAACATCATGGGCCAAAGGGCCTGTACTGTGCTGTACTGTTCTATGTTCTATGTAATAGTTTTGGTTTTCCTAATACTTAGTTAGAGCAAGTTTCTGCTCATGGAGTACAGAGTAAACAGTGTGATAATTTAGTATCGTCGCAGGAGTCAGATTGAGATAGAACTGGCTAACATTTTATTTCTGAGCAAACAAATCTTGTGCTTTTGGATGATGTCACAGAGGGGCAGCCTGTATATCAGAAATAGAAGGGTTCAAGGATAGAATCTCAGCATGGGGGAGCAGAACAGGTAACAGTGTATGAGTGGGAAGAGAAGTGACTGCAAGCAACACTCTGGAGATACAATCATATAGCATGGAAACAGACCCTTTGGTCCAACTTATCTATACCAACTATGCCTGCCAAACTGAACTATTCCCATTTGCCTGCATTTGATCCATATCCCTCTAAAGCTTTCCTATCCATGTACTTGTACAAATGTCTTTTTAAATGTGATAATTGTACCTGCCTTGACCGCTTCCTCTGGCAGCTCATTCCATTCAAACACCACCATCTGCATGAAAAAGTTGCCCCTTAGGCCCTTTTTAAATCTTTCCCCAATCACTTAAAACCCATACCTTCTAGTTTTGGACTTGCCTACCCTTGTCTATTCACCCTATCCATGCCCCTCATAATTTTATAAACCTCTATAAGGTCAGCCCTCAGCATTCAACACTCCAGGGAAAATGTCCCAGCCTATCCAGACTCTCCTTATAGCACAAACCCTCCAGTCCCAGCAACATCATTGTCATTATTTTCTGCCCCTTTTCTAGTTTAACAACATCTTATCTATATCAGGGCGACCAGAATTGTATGCTGTATTCTAAATGTGTCCTCATCGATGTCTTGTACAGCCGCAACCTGCCAAAGCAAGCATGGCTTTCACTTTCATGTTGAGCTTTGTTCCCTCCAAACATTTGCTACTCTTTCTGATTTTAGTCGGGGTCCTATATCTGGGAAGGTAATATTTATTCTTGTTGGATTTTGTTGAAAACTGCAAGCAAAAGATTCTTGTCTCATAAGCAAGCTTGTGTTAATTTGAATTCCAGTGTGTCTCTCCAACACAACTTTTCTTGCCTCTATTTTCAAGACTATTACAGTCAGGGCTTCCCTGAATTTTACACTCTTATTCCTTCTAAGGATTACATAGAATATACAAAACAGGAACAAGTCATTCAGCACAACCAGGACAGCCAGTGCTTATCCTCTAATCAAGTCTCCTCCCATCTTTTCTCATCTAAATCTACAATTATTACCATCTATTCCCTTCTCTCTTATACTCCTGTTTAGTTTCCCCTTAAGTACAACTGCACGAAGCTGTCCTGCAATTACTTCCTTCTCCTTACATTGCCATTATGTCAATACTTAATTCTGCTAACTCGTACAGTACCTCATTATTTTCCAAGATGCTATTTCAAGGCTTTCTGTTTAAATCTAACTGGTATGTGCACATTATCTGTGATAGATTTGTTTTGTCATCAAGCCTTTTCTAATCACTGGGACATACATGGCTCTATTTTGATGCAGAATTGTTTGAAACAGTCCATTTGTCCTGAGTATTTCCATGTTTTTACAACAGGGTACTTCAGTCGGTCCATTTGCACCAAGCCATGAGCACTTATGTAAAATTAGTTTAAAAACATGAGATTATCTGTGGCCTTTGCTTGGTTGATTAGATTAAATTTAATTATATTATATTGCAAGCCAAACCAAATAAGCCTCACTATCACTGGATTCGCAACACAGTGAAATTAAAACATTCAATGACCCTCAAAATTACTCAATTGTTCCTAAACAGACTTAACAAACAATTGATCTTGGACGTCAAGTTTATAACTTCAACAAAAATTAAAAATTTGTTATTAATAATATAAAAGAACAAAATAAACCAGGTAATCTAATTAATATCTATAATCTAAAACCAATTTTCTTTGATCATAACTCTCACTCACACACAGATAGACAGACACTGTTTAGGAATAAATTAGAAAGAAAGTAAAGAATTCTAATTTGCCAGTTCAATTAAATAGCTTCGAACGATGAATATCAAGCCTTCATTAAATCCTTGGACAATGAATTATTCACAGGCACAAACAACTGGATGTCTTGTTCAAATTCCAACATTACTAGTTAGCACAAACAATTTCAAAAGACTCCTTAGAATATTTAATTATTTCTTACAGTCTAGGATTCTTTTCTCAGAACATTCAACAGTTTGATAACTGGAGAGAAAACTAGAGAGAACACAACAGAACAGCAGTCCAGGAACTTCTCAAAATCACTCTGCCCTGCCAAAACCCAGTCAGAACAAGGTCCCACTTTTTTAATCAGTATCTTCTTTATATCAGTCTGTAGTTAGCTGATTAGCTCTAGACCACTTGATTGACCAATTCAACATCCAACCAGCTGCCAGCCCTGAGCGTAGCAACAGCTCAATGCCATTTCATCTACAGTGTTCTTAGAACAGTAATTAAGTTGCATTATATTCCAAACCAGGTCCCAACAGATAACATCTACTTTCGTTCTCTTCTCCTTTAAACAAGTAGCTGTTCAAAGTTCAACTCTCAACCCTAACTCTCAATTCCAAGCCATAAAAAAGTCATGTTGTCTATTATTATAACAAGAGTTGGATAATTCTATCTTTAAAAATTAAAGCTTTGTATATGTTGTAATTTTATATTTGAGAGAGATTGGTGAAAATCGACTATTTACACTGCTTCTTTAATTTCTTCATTTAAAAAGTATCCTACTCTGACAGCAGGACGACAATGTTTTACAGATATCACGTATTATCGGTATGGATTGTGGAAATGCTTTGCTGGTAGGAGTTGGAGGTTCTGGAAAACAAAGCTTAACAAAGTTGGCATCATATATTGCTGGATATAAAATCTTTCAGATCACTTTAACCAGGTATGTACACATTTTGCAGCAAGTTTATAGTTGTACTGAGATTTAAAACATTTCTAGATTGGGTCAACATTCATGGACAATCATATAGAGAGCAATCTAGTCACAAGGCACTCAGTGAAACACTTCCCTATTACTTACAAAAGAAGGAGGTACATAACAGCAGGGACACAATGTTGACTTTCCAGTTAGGACCCTCACCTGAGGGTCAGTTAGGGACCCTAACTCCACAATGAGTGCGAACGAGTGATTTTCTCTTGAATCTGCAAATTTAACTCAGAAGAAGCATCAGTTTACCAATTCAGATGAGAGAGAGGGAGAGAGGCCACATCATCTTGTGGTGCTCCCTCAGCAAATTATAAACTAAAAAAATGGCCAGAGTGTCAAACTACCATTGTGAAGGGGGATCCCATCCATACAGTTGCCTGTTTGTGGCCACAACTGTTGCCAGGCAGTTGTGGGGAGTTTCAAAGCCTGCCTGGCCTACTGTTTCCCACCCCTTGTCTGCCTCCAGACCACTAACCTCATTCTCAATGGTGTGGGCAAGTCTACAGGCTAAATGAAAAATTCCAATTGATCTGCTGATTGGCTTTAACAGACCATTTACTCACCATTTGTGGATGGATAACCCTTCTGTGAATGAGCATGGCGGGTGGGGGGTGCGGTGAAATAGTGCTGGCATGCTGGCCAGCAGGGCAAACTTGCACATCTGCCCACTTCCACACTCAACCTCATTTGGGTGTGAAAAACTCTGCCCCATGTATCAGGCTGCCACAGTTGTGGAACCACCATAATCATACACTTTGTTCTCCCATTTATGAAAAGAAATTACTGGTGATGCTGGAGAACTCACCAAGCTGAGTATCATCATACTTAAACCTTATCTTTTCTGACTTGCCAAACCCCAAACAGTATGCAATACATGATTCATTGTCATTCGGTTTCGGTCTTATGAGCTCCACCTCCGACACTAATCTCAAAGATTGGATTCCCATGTAACGACTGACCAGACACATATGTAGAACTGAGGGCATGGGTAGGATAATACCAGTGCCAGTTTGCTCATCAGCGAGGTCACACACAAGTCTTGCTGCAGAGTACTCAAATGCAAAATTTGATGGGCCAGGATATTGAAGATGAGCACATCTAGGAAATGCTGGGCAGCCTGAAGAGATTGTGTATATCAGTTGCAGAGCTTCCCTTCAACTTGCTGCACAGATTTGTCATGAACTCCACCAGGCTGGAGCATCTATGAACAAAACACATAGTGTTGCCATCAACACTCGGATGGCTGCCATCTTAACTGTGAGGTTCAGTGTAGAAATGAACAAATAAGGCTTTCATGTAACTCCAGCATTCTATTCTGAGAGAAAACATTAAGAGCATCAGGGTACTGCCTGTGCAAGGGGCACTGGCTCCATAGAATAGGAACCTTTCTCAGAACTACTGCTGTCCTGCCAGTCACTTCTTCAATGCCATTGTCTCATGTCCAGCTAGACTGCTGCCAAAGTTATGTCGGTGCAGTCCATTGTCTGATCTCTTAGTGCAAGGCTGCTCAAGGTCACCTTCCAAATTGTATGTGGCATCCATGGCATGTTGCACCATGAGGAAGCATGCCATCTTAGCAAAACCTCATGAAGAAGATGCCAGTGTCTTTCCTGGTGTAGTGAACATCCAAGATTCATCAGTGTAATGAGAGAGTTTATTGGTGTTGTCTGTTGCAGCCTGAAAGGAGCTTTTGCTATAAAAGTAGAGTGTAGACATTACCTGGACAGTTGCAGACAGTGCAATCTATGACCTGACTTAATGCTGTAGTCATGGTTGCAACATCTAATCTATCTCAGGAACAACTCTGTTAAAGCAAAGTCACATTATCAACAGCTTCCCAGTAAAACTGAAGCAAGAAAAGTGGCACCTGAAAACCCAATGTGAATATACCCCTTACTGAGTGCTCCACACCTCTACTCGTTTCCATTTCAACAGCTTATGCTTTTTTGTGATGTCTTCTTTGATGTGCCCAACCAACACAATTCCAAAAGACAGTCCTATCAAACCAGACCATCCATTTTTGGAAACACAACAGGAGAAAAGTAGATCCCAGTGCTGGCCTCTCATCATAATTCCAGTAGGGAACAAAGTATGAACCTTAGAATAACAGTAAAGGTAACAATCTTCAGTCATAGATCATTTCTTGTGTGGCTTTTTGTTTATTTACCTATTGGAGCAATAATAGGAGAACGAGAAAGCTCCAAAGGAAATTATCAGCTGCAGTGTTTAATCTTGTTGAATACAAGCATTTGATAATTAAATATTAATTGCTGTTTTGTTCAATACATTCATCAAAACTTTTGATCAACAGTAGCACAGTCTCACATTTTTCTGAGACTCTATTGCAGGAAGCAAGGATGAATCCAAAGAACATACTTGACTTCACACAAGTATTTCAGAGAATACTTTCCGAGGATCACCACCTTTTGTTGTGGTGAAGAGGCTTGTGTGTACCTGGGAACCCGAGCATAGCTCCTAGCAGGGTCACCCATGATATTAAGGTCATGGTGGAGGTTCCAAACAAAGCACTGATCCGTGAAGACCTCAACAGCAGAGGATGATAGCTGAACTTAAATTAGAACATCACAATGGTTGCGAAGGCAAATGAAGGATGCAATAGAGAAAGTCCACCTTGGTCTCCATGCCACTGGGCTTCAACCCCCTAACTACCGAGGTTCATGTGGTGGCTGTCTGTACACCAGCTTCCCCACACAACTTCACCCTCACAAACACACTCTTCCATCAGAAAAACAAATCCAAAACAATTTGAAGGCACCAAAGCTTGAAACAATGGCATGTCATCAATTCTATCATTGTTCACTCCAGGGACCAGCACAATGTGAATGTCACCAGGGCTATGATCAGCTCAGATGACTGCTGGACTGACCATTGCCTTATCAGTTCCATGATGTCCATCAAACTACACAGAAAGAAGAGGATTCAGAAGAAGCAGACTCAGCCAAGATTCAACATCAACAGCCTGGATGACACGGTCACTATGCAGCATCTACAGGCCTCACCTGCTAAAAGCCTACCTCGGGAATACCCAGAGAACACAAGAGAACACTGGAGTCTGCTTCAGTCAACCACTCTGCAGTAACACCTTCAGGTAAAAGTCCAAAAACCATCAGGACTGGTTCGATGAGAATGACGGAGAAATTGAACAGTTCATCTCCAAGAAAAGGACATCTTTCTGTGACTGACGGAATGACATCAACTGCAAAGCCAAAAGAAGGGCCTACTCCAAAGCTAAGGCTGATGTGCAGATGAGGGGAAGGGAGCTTAAAAATAAATGGTAGACTGATAAGGCCTTGGAAATCTAGCAGCTGGCAGATGCCAGTGACACAGGGGAGGCAGTGGCCTAGTGGTATTATCGCTGGACTGTTAATCCAGAGACCCAGATAACATTTTGGGGACCTGGGAAGGATTTGTTTTTCTGATGGACGAGCGTGTTTGTGATGGTGAGGTTGTACTCAGCACATTTTGTGAGAAGGACTCCATTAAAGTTTTTGTTTCCAATACCTTCCCTTCTTTAGGAAAGGAAATCTGCCATCCTTACGTGGTCTGGCCTGCATGTGACTCCAGACCTACAGCAATGTGTTTGACTCTGAACTGCCCTCTGGGCAATTAGGGATGGGCAATAAATGCTGCCTAGTCAGTGACGCCCTCATCCCGTGGGTGACTAAAGAAAAAAAACAACAGGCTTCTTCAGTGCCACCTGGGCAATATATGGTCCAAGCTACTGTGGTCTAAAAACCCTGTGCTCTAAAGATGGACAAAAACTGCTCAAGGACAGTGAGGCAATAAAAAACCCATGGAGAGAACATTTCCAAGAACTCCTCAATCGTAATATCAATATTAATTTGGAAATCATCAACTAAATGCCGAGAAATCCATGCAAGGTGACATGGGAGAACCTCTCAGTGCGACCGAAATACAAAATGCCATAAGGAGTTTGTGAAACAACAAGGCTGCTGGTCCTGATGGGATTCCTGCAGAGATCCTAAAGTGAGGTGACCCGACAGCTCCATGAACACTAACATGCTTTGCTGTTGAATATTTGGCTCAAAGAAGAACTCCCCGGAGCTCATGGATGCTCTGACTGTGACCATATTCAAAATGGATGACAAGGCTGACTGTGGGAATTACAGAGACATCTCCCCTCTGTCAACCACTGGCAAAGTGCCTGCACATGTCCTTGCTAATAGACTTCTGCCGTTATCTCAGGAAATACTCCCTGAATCACAGTTTGTCTTTGCCTGTCCAGAGGAACAACAGACATGATCTTCACAGCATGTTAATTACAAGAAAAATGTCAGGAACAGAAGTAAGCTGAAGAAGCCTCTTATGTCACCGGCATTTGCAAATTGTTGGTTTTACATGACCTTCATCAACCTAGCTAAGGCCCTTGACACAGTTAATCACCAGGCTGTCTGGCGATCACTGTCATGATGCAGCAGCCCTGATAAACTCATCAGGATGCTGAGGCTGCTGCATGATGACATGTCTGTGACAATGCTTAGGAACTGTGGATTAGAGCCTGAGCCGTTAACTGTGTAGATGGGGGTCAAGCAGAGCTGTGTAGTGCTTGTAACGAGGTCAGCAAGATGTAATTCATAGAATATGAATTCCCTGATTGAGGCTGATAATCTGGTCCAATTAGGGAGCTCTGGCTGACAGATATAAACAGGAGCGTCAGAGGTTCTGCTCACTCTAGCTACCGTTCAATCCATAGGAACTGTTTCAGAGTCTATAAAATCTTGAAAGTGACCACAAATGCATCCATTATTTTTATTGCCACTTCCTTAAGACTACAGTACTATACTAGATTATGCATCTCCTTAATAGTCATTACAGCTGGAGTAAATCTTGTACTCTGCAATTCCCTCGATCTTGCCACATATGACCCATTTCTTTCACTAAGATTTTGGGATGACATCTCAATCTCCCCTTCTGTGACATCTTGTTTCTATGTTCAAAATGTGCATTCATGCAAGTGGTTATTTTTGTAAGATGTGTAATTTTATTGCTTCTGTCAGAGCATACAATGTTGGCAATCTAATGGATGACTTGAAGATATTGTACAGAACAGCTGGGGCAGAAGGCAAGGGAATCACTTTCATATTCACTGATAATGACATCAAGGAGGAGTCCTTTCTTGAGTATCTCAACAATGTGCTTTCTTCTGGAGAGGTACTTAGTTTCTTAATTTTCTTACAGCCTGACCTTTATGCTTCCTTTACGTCTGTCCTTAATTTAATATTTTCAACCATTTATTATAATTCACTTCCATAAGGATATACTGCAATTGTAGTTAATAGTTCCTAGTATCTCATCTGATGGTTAAATTTGAAAATTCTAATTAGATCATTTGTAATTGTGTAATAAAGTATAAATATGCCAGAAGCCATCCAGCCCAATGTTTCTGCACCGCTATTCAATGAGATGTTACTCCCTTGTCCTGGCTTCCACAATCAGCCAGTCTTTGCAATCATTAGAAGTATAAATTCCAAGGGCATCTGCTGGGTAGGAGAGGAAAATTGGTCAGAGACAAAACATTAAGCTTGCAGCAGGGATTCAAATTCTGCAATGTGAAAGGGAAGCTTCATTCAAATGTCAACACGTCAGAGGCTGAGGACATAAAGGAAGCGTTCATGTGTGAGGAGTTGCTTCTGAACCAAATTCAATTGGGGAAGTGTGAGGATATTACTTGGATTTGAGAAAAACAAATCAGAATGGTGAAAGATATTTTGAATGCGTGCGAGATGTGACTGTTGGTAGTATTCTTACCTCCGGGTAAGAAGATTGGGCATTTCACAGGTGAAGGCTCACTCCAGGAATTGAACTCAAAAACAAGTGGTTTCACTCCAGTGCATTGAGAATGTGCTGCATTGTTGGAGGCATCATCGTTCACATGAACTGAATCCTCTCAATGTTCATGAATAACACAGTATTCGTCCTGAGTCACTCAATAATGTAACTGGAATTGGCATAAGAAGCACACTCTTGCTGTAAAACAGAAAATATTCTCTTGCTTGAAATGGTGCAGAGACCTGGTAAATCTCTCTTTTATGACTTCAGGTGTCCATTCACCCCACTTAACTCCACTGCCTTTGCAATTTCAAACATTACAATGCTTAAAGTAAGCCTGCTAAAATAACTAACCTTATCAACCATAATAAGCCATTTCAATGGATTAAAACTGAATCCAATAATACATATGAGGAATGACAGATTTTTTTCTAAACAACCTGATCAGTGATGTTATGACACACCTCTAGAGCAGATGGGACTTGAACTCAGACCTTTGACCCAGAGGTAGGGACACTACCACTGCACCACAAGACTTCTTCTTATTTAATTTGTTTGTTTTTTTCTTTTGATAGGTATCAAACTTATTTGCTCGGGATGAACTTGATGAGATTACTCAATCCCTGATTGCACCAATGAAGAAAGAAGCACCTCGCATTCCTCCTACTTTTGACAATTTATACGACTATTTTATTAACAGAGCTAGAACAAATCTACATGTTGTCCTCTGCTTCTCTCCGGTGAGTTCTCACCAGTTTTACAAGTTCATAACCTCAATTAGATACATGGTGACTGTCTCTGTCCTGGTAAAGGATGGAAACGAAGGCAATGACATTCTCTGAGATTCTTGACTCTTGCTTCTCAGATGTGGTGTTGGATGTACTGGGTTTAAGGCTTTTCTTTTAGGTTTCCAAGACTGGGATTAAAGGCTGCAATGAAAAACTTAAAGATTTCTTAGTGTGTCAAGCTGCCACCCTTACCTTGGATGTTCTTAAGATGTTGCTGCTTCCTGTACACCTGGAAAGAGGAGAGTAGGGCCTTCTCACCAGATGACTGCTGATATTCAATCTCCCCATCAGCACAGGCAAAACGCACAGTCTCTCACTCTCCTCCAAACTCCTTGAAGGAGGTCAGTTATGTCAGCCATCACCTCCCGCTGATCAGCATATGCTCACAGTTATTTTGCATATTCTACTCCTGCAGACATGGAGAAACATTGGGAGACATTAGCATGGTTACATCTGCAACTACTCTGCATTCAGCACTACTAATGGAGATATCAATTCCCCAAAGTTGGCAAGAAGGATGAGGTATTGAGCACGTGAGCAGCTAAACCTCCTAAATGAAGGGTGTTTTGTTTCATCAGGAGATAGAATAGGTTTTATGTCATTGTCATACAACCCTTGCTGAACATGGCAATAGGAGCAGAAATAGATTATTCAGTCTTTAATCCTGTTCCACCATTCAATACATTCATGGCTGATTTGTTTGTGTTTTGAATTCCACAATCCCATCTACTACCAAAAAGCCTTGATTCCTGTGCTTAACAAGAATTTATCCACCTCTCCACTTCTCTACAATGCCTTTACCACCTTCCGAGGCAAAGTACCAAAGTCACACAACCCTCTGAAAGAAAACGTACCTCCTTATCCCTGTACAGAAATGGTGACGACTAATTCTGGACTGATCCGCAGAGAAAACTTCCTTTCAATGTCCACTTCGTCAATTCAGGAACTTAAATGTTCCAGTCAAGTCACACCTCACTCTTTTAAAGGCCAGTAGAAACAAGCCCAGACTGTCCAACCTTTCTTCATTAGACCACTACTCGTTCCAGATATCAGCCTAGCAAACTTCTGATCCATTTCCAACACATTTACTTCTTTCCATAGAAACACAGAAATTAGGAGCAGAAGGAAGCCATTTGGCCCTTCAAGCCTGATCCGCCATTCGATAAGATCAAGGCTTATCCTCTATCTTAATGCTATATTCCGGCTATCTCCTTATACCCCTTGATGCCTTCAAAAGGCAAAAACTTATCTATCTTTTTCTTGAATATAGTCAATGACTCGGTCACCACAGGCTTCTGTGTTGGAAAATTTCCACAGGTACACTATTCTTTGAGTGAAGTTTCTTCTCATTTCATTCTAAAGTGGATTGTCCTGTATCCTGAGACAGTGTCCCTTAGTTCTAGACTCCACAATCAGCAAAAACATTCTCCCTGCATTTAGTCTGTTCAGTCGCATTAAATTTGGTATGTTTCAATCAGATCCCCTCTCATCATTTTAAACTCCAGTGAATACAGGCTCAACCAAGCTATCCTCATGCAACAGTCATCCCCAACATCAGCCTAGTGAACCTGTGCTGCATGCCCTCTTTAGCAAGTCTATCCTCTGTTAGGAAGTGAGACTAAAACTGCATACAATACTCCAGGTATGATCTCGCCACTGTCCTCTACACCTTCAGGAAGATATCACTACTTTGGAACTCAAATCCTCTTGCGATGAAGGCCAATACACCAATTGCCATCCTCATTGCTTGCTGCAGCTGCCTATCTACTTTCATTGACTGGTGTATCAAGGAAATCCAGATCTCTTTGTACATCCACACTTCCCAATGTAGCATCATTTAAATATGTTACGGACCAGACCGGACCCCCTCAAAATATTTTAAGAAGATAGCCTAGACCTTAACTTTTTCTAATTTTAAAGGCAAGTGCAATTCAACTGGTTAAACTACCAGACATTAGGCAAAACACAATTTATTCAAACACTGTAGTTAAAATACAACAAAAGAAAGAAGAACTTAGAGCACCTTAACTCCATTGGAAAACTTAGCAGAATAGTAGATAAGTAACTATTCCTAATTAACTGTTCCACTGCATTAACATCCCATTAACACACCCCTTGGTAAAAAGGCAAAGTCAGACACAAATTGTCTCACATGCAATCCAGCAGCAAAAAGAGAGAAAAAATATCAAGCGAAAATTCAGACAGAGTAACAGCCAGGAGACATTTTAGTGCAGCTTCCAACCTATTTAGCTTAAAGCTAAAACTAAACAAGAAATTCTGGTCTGTGAGAGCTGAACCACACCCATTCAGGCTACTTCTATTGTCCCAACTTTTAAAAAAACTCAAGGCCTCACAAGCTATTTACGTTCAACACAGACTGCTCAGCAGCTCTCGTTCAATATCTCCCTTAATAGAAACCAGGACAAAATACATGTCTTAAAGCCACAACATCATCACACCTTCCCCCTTAAAAAATGAACCATCAATGTACAATGATGGCTTTATTTTTAAAAAGCCCTAGTCTTGCTGTATTAGAACACTACAATACATGTACATTACAATGACTCTAAGCATGCAAACATTCACAACTACAGTCTATTTCAGTCAGTTTACTCCTGCCACCAAACGTTTCCATCTATCTTGAAGAAAATAGCGACAATGCATCGACAATTATGTTCGCACATCCTGTCATGTGCATAAGTTTCAAACTGAATGGCTGCAATAATAAGCTCCATCTAAACAGTTTGGAATTTTTGTCCTTAAATTTCTCCAAAAACTTTAAGGGGTTGTGATCAGTATATACAATTGTCTCAGACACATCACTGGCAATATAAATGTTGAAATGTTGTAATGCCAACACCAAGCTCAAGGTTTCCATCTCAATCATGGAATATTTCTGTTGATTATTATTCAATTTTCTGGACGAATACCCAAAAAGTGTTTCCATTTTCTCACCGTCCTCTTGTAAGAGTACAGCACCGACACCAACATCACTTGCATCAATAGCCACTTTGGATGGCTTTACGTAATTAGCTGTGGCTAACACTGGAGCAAAGGTTAACACACTTTTCAGGCTGTCAAATGCCTTTTGACAGTCTTTGTCTGCTGAAATTTTCTGCACTTCTTCAATAAGTCAGTCCGTGGAGCAACCACACTGCTAAAATTCGGTATGAACTTCCGATAAAAACCATTCAGTCCCAGAAATCGTAATACTGCCGTCCTCGTCAATGGAATCCAAAATTCCTCAGTAACCTTTGTTTTCACATCACATGGGGCCATCTAACTATGTCCAGTGACATGTCCCAGGAACATGACTTGGGTTTTTGCAAGCTAGCTCTTAGTCAGGTGTATCACTGAGCCTGCCCCATGAAGTCAATCGAACAATTCCAAATGGTTGGAAGAATAGTTGTGTTGACTATTTTTGAAATGGGGAAAGGCTTCTGAAATCTGAAGCACAAAGCAACTTAGGAATCCTAGTTCAAGATTTGCTTAAGGTTAACATGCAGGATCAGTTGGTAGTTAGAAAGCCAAATGCAATGTTAGCATTCATTTCGAAAGGATGAGAATACAAGAGCTGAAATGTACTGCTGAGGCTGTATAAGGCTGTGGTCAGATTGCATTTGGAATATTGTGAGCAGTTTTAGGCCCTGTATCAAAGGAAGGATGTGTTGGTGTTGGAGGGATACAGAGGAAGTTTACAAGAATGATAGTCAAAGGAGGAGTGGTTGATGACCCTGGGTGTCTACTCAATGGAGTTAAGAAAGATGAGAGGACATCTCATTGAAACTTACAGAATACGGAGAGGACTGAAGAGAGTGGGCATGGAAAAGATGTTTCCACAAGTAAGGCTAGCACCCGGGAGCACAGCCTCAGAATGAAGGGGTGACCCTTCAGAAGTGAGATGAGGAGGAATTATTTCAGAGGGCCAAGTCATTGAGTGCATTTAAGACAGAGATAGATTCTTGATTAGTAAGGCAATCAAAGATTGCAGGGAGAAGGCAGGAAAGTGGGGTTGAGAAACATATCAGCCATGATTGAATGGCAGAGCAGACTCGATTGGCAAAATAGCCTATTTCTGGTTCTGTGTCTCATGGTCTTATGGTACATACGCTGATGGAGAGTAGCAGATCATTCATCCTCTTGCAGCACTAGAAACAGAGCTCAGGGATGCTAGGCTCCTCAACTACTTCACAACAGGCTGGCTTCAGTTGGGACAGCCTCCTGTTGCCATTCCTAGGAAAGGGATTGTCCTTTCTCTCCAGGAGTCCATAAAGTGAACAGCCTTGAAATGTGTGGCTGAAGGGCAGAATACTTCCTTCTGGTTTCTGACAGCTCCAGTGGCTGGGAGTGACAAACACAGTCTGAGTGAGATTTCAGAGAACGAAGTGCTTTGTGGGTGTTTTCTCAATATGGTTACTGGAAGCTTGATACCAGCAGGTCCTGCTGAGGATGAGAACTTCCTCCTGACACACTTCATAAGATTCAGTGTTCCACTTTGGCATATAGTTGTTGAGCTGAGAAGAGCGTAATCATGAAAGACAACCTGGCATGCCCTTAAATGTAAAATGTAAGAAGGAGGGCTTCAGATATCTGGATCATTGAGATCTCTTTGAAGACAAGGGAAACCTGTACAAGAAGGATGGGTTACATCTAAACTGGAGGGACATTGATATATTGCAGGGAGGTTTGCTAGTGCCACTCAGGAGAGTTTAAACAAGTTTGGCAGAGAGATGGGAAGCAGAGCAGTAGGTCAACATGTGGAGTAACTGAGAAAGTAGAGTTAAATCAAATAAGTCTAATGGATAGAACATTCAGGGCCAGATTGAGGACCTCAGCGGGGTTGGTGGGGTCTGAAGTGTATTTATTTTAATGCAAGGAGTACAACAGGTAAAGCAGATGAGCTTAAAGCCTGGATTAGTACATGGGACTACATAAACTTGGTTGAGAGAAGGGCAGGACTGATAGCTTGATGTTCCGGGGTTTAGATGTTTCAGGTGAAGTATAGCTTGATGTTCCGGGGTTTAGATGTTTCAGGTGAAGTAAAGAGGCATAAAAAGGGGTGGGGGAGTTGCATTACAGATTAAGGAGATGTCACAGCTGTAGTAAGAGAGGGCATCTTGGAGGGCTCATCCAGTGAGGCCTTATGGGTAGAATGCAGGAATAACAAAGGTACAATCACTGTGGTCGGGTTATACTAAAGGCCTTCCAATAGCCAGCAGGAGGTAGAGAAACAGATATGTAAGAAGATCATGGAAAGATGTAAAAACAACGGTTGTTACAGTGGCGATTTTAACTTCCCCAGTATTAACTGAGACTCTCTTAGTGCCATGGTTTAGATGGGGCAGAATGTATTAGGTGCTTCAAGGAGGGGATTTCTTGAAACAATATGTAGATAGTCCAACTAAGTAAGGTGCCATACTAGACCTTGTATTGGAGAATGAGCTTGGCCAGGTGATCGGAGTTTCAGTGGGAGAGCATTTTGGGAACAGTGATTACAATTCCGTAAGTTTTAAGTTCGTTATGGAAAGGATAAGACTGGTCTTCAGGTGAATGTGCTAAATTGGGCAAAGGCTAATTACAGAAGTATTAGGTAGGACCTGGAAAAATTAGATTGAGCGCAGTTGTTTCAGGGTAAATCCACATCTGATATGTAGGAGTCTTTTAAAGGCCAGTTGATCAAAACTCAGGACCAACATGCTTCTGCGAGGATGAAAGATAAGGATGGCAAGATTCAGGAACCCTAGACAATAAGAGATATTGTGAATTTAATCCATTAGGAAAAGGAAGCATACGTAAGGTTCAAGAAACTGAAATCAGGCAAGGTCCTTGAGGAATATAAAGGAAGCAGGAAAGAACTTAAATGAGGAATTAGGAGGGCTAAAAGGGGCCATGAAATGTCCTTGGCAATCCATGGAAAGGGCACACTAGGACAATGAAAGGGCAAATACATAAAGCATGCATTTACAAACTGCAGTTACACTTCATTTGCAATTTGTTCTTTGCCCATTTGCAATGAATGGCGTGAATGTTCTTAATCTTCAAATGCAGATCATAGGTAATTTGCACCATCTCATTGTGTTTGTACATCTAACATTGGCCATATTTAAAAGGCGGCTGTGCACCGAGACACACGTTGGCAATCTGGCAGTGCCCCTCACCATGAACTTAATGGCACAGCAGCCATAAAGCCATACTACTCTTGGCGCATAAATGGCATAGCTAACACTCCCTCACACATAAAGCCCAGCCAAAATCAATGTTGGTGATATATTGAGGAGTGTGGATGTACAAACAGATCTGGATACCCTTGTACACCAGTCAATGAAAGTAAACAGGCCGATGAAACAAGCAATTAGGAAGGCAAATGGTATATTGGCATGTTTTACTTCTTCAAAAAATTCCAACAACATTGTTAAACATGATTTTCCTTTCATAAAACTATGTTGACTCTGCCTGATTACCTTGATATTTTTCTAAGTGCTCTGCTATAATATCTTAAATAATAGCTTCTAATACTGTATCTTTTCAGTGCCAGAACTTGCAGAGACTTTCCAGCATTTTTTGTAATTTTTTTCAGATTTCTGGCTTCCAAATGGATTTCATTTTGTATGTTAGTAGGCTTACTAGTTTGTTATAAATATAAATGTAGTTTGTAGATTTCTGAGTTTATTGTTTTTCTGCTGGATGCTAGGTTGGTGAAAAGTTTCGATCACGTGCACTAAAGTTCCCTGGTCTGATCTCCGGTTGCACTATGGATTGGTTCAGTCGCTGGCCCAGAGAAGCATTGGTGGCTGTCTCACGCTACTTCCTTTCTGGATTTTATATTGCCTGCTCAGCCGAGGTCAAAACCCAGCTGGTAGAAACAATGGGTCTCTTTCATGACAGGGTTTATCAAACATGTGAAGACTATTTTCAGAGGTATGTTCTGATTAGTGATGGTTTATTTATTGATGACCATGTTAATGCAAGAGGTACGAAGGCTAGTCATCTTTAATAATCTGCCAGTTTCTGTTTTAAACAAATGAAGAAATATAACCAGGGTTCATTACTGTTTTATCACCCCATGCTGATTTTACAAGATAGAATCATCAACACACAATGGACTTTTCAAACTGGAAAGGATGCTTCTGAAAGGAAATCTCAATCTCATATTTGTACAAGGTACAAGAAAGTATTTTAAAGTAGGTTGTGAGGTTAGGACATAAAGATACGGGTTCAAACGGATAAAAGTTAGATTTAAGACTTATTACATTCATGGGATGTGAGTGTTGCTGACTGTTTATTGTCCATTCCTAATTACCCTTCAGAAGGTGGTGGTGAGCTGCCTTCATAAACTGCTGGTACTTCAGGTACGGGAACACCAGTAATAGATAATAAATTTGGAAATATTGATGTACAAAAGGTCTGGGCATCCTTCTGCACAGGTCACTAAAAGCAAGAATTCAAGAGCAGCAAACAGTTCAGAAAGTAAATGGTATGTTAGCCTTTATTGGAAGAGAATGTGAATACAGAAGCAAAGACATCTTACTGCAGTCTTCCTAGACCTTAGTAAGACCACACCTGAAGTATTGTATGCCGTTTTGGTCTCCTTACCTAAGAAAGGATTGACTTGCCAGTGTGGGGATGGAGCACCAAAAGTTCACCTGACTGATTCCTGGGAAAGCAAGATTATTGCAGAAGAGAGATTGGATCAACAAGGCACGTAATTTATAATATCTCCAAGTTTGCAACTGGGTGGGATGGTGAACTGTGAGGAAGACATAGAGATGCTTCCGTATGATTTAAAGAATTTGAGTGAGTGAGTAAATTTATGGTAGATGAAGTTTGATGTGAATAAATGTGAAATTATCCATTTTGGTAGCAAAACCATAAAGGGGGATTATTATCTGAAAGGCAATATATTGGGAAAGTGGGAGGTGCAATGAGACCTGGGTGGCCTTGTACACCAGTTGTTGAAAATAAGCATGCAAATGAAGGCAAATGATATGTTGCCCTTCGTAGCAAAATGATTCGAGTACAGGAGCAGGGATGTCTTGCTGCAATTGTACATGGCCTTGGTAAGACAGCACATGGATTATTGTATGCAGTTTTGGTCACCTTGAGAAAGATGTTGTGGCTTGGGAGAGAGTACAGTAAATTTTACCAGACTGATTCCTGGGATGGTGGAACTGACATATAAGGTGAGATTGAATCGGTTAGAATTATATTTGCTAAAGTTCAGAAGAATGAGGGGAATCTCAAAGAAATCAATAAAATTCCAACAGGACAAGATAGGGTAGATGTTCCCAATGGTGGGGAAGTTCATAACCATGTGTTATGGTGGGGAAGTTCATAACCATGTGTTACAGTCTGAGGAAACAGGGTAAACAATTTAGACTGAGAGCGGTGAGTGTATGGAATTCACTACCACAGAAAGCAGTCAAGACCAAAATATTACATGATTTCAAGAAGGAGTCAGATATAGCACTTGAACCTAAGGTATCAAAGGAAATGGGGGGTAAAGCAGGAACTGGATACTGAGTTGGATGATCATCCATGATCATAATGGATGGTGCGCACCCTCAAAGGCCCAAATGGCCTACTCTTGCTCCTATTTTCAATGTTTCCATGTAAAAGAATATACACCACAGTTTTCTTCATTATTAACAAAATAACTATTTATTGTAAACAAACTGTCTTTAACCAATGGTAAGATGCAAGACCATGTGAACTGCTAATCTATAACTATATAATTTAATCAGTAAGTGTCAAAGACATAACTAAAAACAGAAAGTGCTAGAGAAACAGATAAGGTCTGGCAGCATCTGTGGAGAGTGAAACAGAGGGAACATCTTGTGTCCAATTATTTCTTCAAGTACAGAAAAAGATGGGATTTCTAATTTAAGCAACATGAACGTTACCTTTTTTGTAACTCCCACACACACAGGCATACAAAGTAAACAGACAAACATAAATATTATGAGTGGAGAGGAGCAAAACAAATAGTCAGTAGAACACAGTTCGGTACCACCAGTCCAAAATCTCAAAACTAGATGGCGTGGCGTTATGTTTCACTGAGGTACGGAGCTTGAAATGAAGCCCCTGTGTTTCTGGAGTCATCATGCATATTAAAGATTTTATAAAAGTTCACAGAATTCCCCAATTTATGTGATTTTTAGATCCAGGTTGACCCAGAAAGCACAAAGCAGGTTTCAAGGATTAACAAGGACTTTTTTTATTCCAAGAATTTATTACAAACAAATAGATTCCAACTGCAGGTATACAATTATGAACTGTTAGCATATACACTCTACTAGTTAAAATTCTAATTACCTTCTAAAACCACTCCTCTACACACATATACAGGCAGACACAACAAAAACATGAGAGCCAAAAAAACTGCGGATGCTGTAAATCAGAAACAAAAACAGAGGTTGCTGGAGAGGCTCAGCAGGTCTGGCAGCATTTGTGAAGAGAAATCAGAGTTAACGTTTCGGGTCTGGTGACCCTTCGTCAAAACGTCAAAAACATGAGAGCGATGTATGGAGTGAAAGATTGGGGAGGCAGTTTAATGATCTCTAGTCAACAGTGTTCACTTAAATGATCCTTTTGATTTTCCGGGTCTTGCTACTCCTTGATCTTCTTTCTCCAGGTACTTTGTTTGTAGGAGGCACAGAGTGACAGGTACATATTTTAGAAGTCTCTAACTAATTGGTTACCTTAAATTATTTAGGAAGTACAAAAGTAGTTTGAAAGATTTCTGAAATGTTGGATACTTTTGGAAGCAATAGCATCAAAGAGGTAAATAAAGACTATATTACAACAGAGGGTTTGTGCTGCCTTTTATATTCAACTGGTTATAATTTTGTTCAAAGTATTTTCCAGCAAAAATAGATACAATTGATAATGATAGCAGGATAATGATAGCAGTAAATACATAAATTCAATTTAAGATAGGTGGTCGGGCTTACAGATGTTTTATTACTGTTTAAATATGGTGTACATATCTGCATAATAATAAGTCCTTCATATTTCTACTTTTCAGATATCGACGAAGAACACATATAACTCCCAAATCTTACCTTGCCTTTATAAATAGCTACAAATCTGTTTACACAGAGAAACATGCAAACATCAATGATCTAGCAGAACACATGCAACTGGGTAGGTATATTTCCATGGACAAATATTGATGCCAGTTTTTGAATATTTAAGATGTTAGTGTGTGAAATTAAAGTGTATGGGATTGGGGTTAATAAGAACGTAAGAACATAAGAACCAGGATCAGGAGTAGGCCACCTGGCCCTTTGAGCCCACTCCGCCATTCAACCATGGCTGATCTTCTCGTGGCCTCAGTTCCACTTACCCACCCTTTCACCATAACCCTTAATTCCTTAAAAATTATCTATCTTAGCTTTAAAAACATTCAATGAGGAAGCCTCAACTACTTCATTGGGCAGGGAATTCCAAAGATTCACAATCCTTTGGGTGAAGAAGTTAACATAGAACACAGAACAGTAGAGCACAGTACAGGCCCTTTGGCCCACGATGTTGTGCCGACCGATTATCCTACTAAGATCAATCTACCCTGCATACCATACATTTTACTATCCTCCATGTGCCGATCCAAGAGCTGCTTGAAAGTCTCTAAAGTATCTGACTCCACTACTGCTGCCGGCAGCGCATTCCACACACCCACCATTCTGTGTGTAAAGAACCTACCTCTGACATCTCCCCTATATCTCTGACATCTTCCTCCAATCACCTTAAAATTATGCCCCCTCAATATAGTCATTTCCATCCTGGGAAAAAGTCTCTGGCTATCCACTCTATCTATGCCTCTCATCATCTGTACACCTATCAAGTTACCTCTCATCCTTCTTCGCTCCAATAAATAAAGCCCTAGCTCCCTCAGCCTTTCCTCATAAGACCTGCCCTCCAGTCCAGGCAGCATCCTGGTAAATCTCCTCTGCATCCTTGTTAAAGCTTCCACATCTTTCATATTATGAGGTGACCAGAACTGAACACAATATTCCAAATGTGGTTAACCAGAGTTTTATAGAGCTGCAGCATAACCTCATGGCTCTTAAACTCAATTCCCCTGCCAATGAAAGCCAACACACCATACGCCTTCTTTATAACCCTATCAACTTGGGCAGCAACTTTGAGGGATCTATGGACGTGGACCCCAAGATTCTTCTGTTCCTCCACACTGCTGAGAATCCTGCCATTAACCCTGTATTCTGCGTTCAAATTCGATCTTCCAAAAAGTTCCTCCTCAATTCATCCTAAATCTACTCCCGCTAATTTTGAGACTATGCCCTCTTATTCTAGTTTCACCCACCAGTGGAAACAATCTCCCTGTTTGTATCTTGTATATTCCCTTCATAATTGTATATGTTTCTACAAATCCCCCATCATTCTTCTAAATTCATAGAATCATAGAATCCCTACAGTGTGGAAACAGTCCCTTGGGCCCAACAAGTCCACACTGACCCTCTAAAGAACATCCCACCCAGACCTATCCCCCTGCCCTTTCCCTGTAACCCTGCATTTCCCATGGCATATCCGACACCTAATCTACATGTCCCTGAACATTATGGGCAATTTAGCATGGCCAGTCAACCTAGCCTGCTAATCTTTGGACTGTGGGAGGCACCCGGTAGCAACCACGCAGACACGGGGAGAACATGCAAACTCCACACAAAGAGTCGCCTGAAGGTGGAATCGAACCCAGGTCTCACCTCATAAGTCAACCCTCTCAACTCCAGAATCAACCTAGTGAATCTCCTCTGCACTCTCTCCAGTACATCCTTTCTCAAGTAAGGAGACCAAAACTGCACGCAGTAATCCAGGTGTGGCCTCACCAGCTCCCTATACAGCTGCAATGTAACATCTTTACTTTTAAACCCAATCCCTCTGGCAATGAAGGACAAATTCCATTTGCCTCCTTAATTACCTGTTGCACCTGCAAACCAACCTTCTGCAATTCATGCACAAGGACACCCAGGTCCCTCTGCACAGCAGCACGCTGCAATTTTTTTACTGTTCAAGTAATCATCCTTTTTATTGTCATTCTTACCAAAATGGATGACTTCACATTTATTGACATAGATTGAAAAATGACTAGCAACAGAAAAAGAATGTATAGGAATAAATGGGTCTTTTTCAAACAGACTGTGCCTCATGGGGTATTGCAGCGATCGAAGATGTTTGCTGCTGACACTCAGCTAGGTAGGATTGTGAGTGGTGAGAAGGATGTAAAGAGGCTTCAAGGTGATTTAGACAAGTTGAGTGATTGGTAAACACATGGCAGATGCAGTACAATGTGGACAAGTGTGAAGTTATTCACCCGACACTAAAAAAGTAGGAAAAAATATTCTTTAAGTGGTGATAGATTGGGAAATGTTGATGTACAAACGGCCTGGATATCTTTCTACACCAGTCACTGAATGCAAGGATTCAAGTGTAACAAACACTTGAAGGCAAATGATATGTTAGCCTTTATTGCAAGAGGATATGTATACAGAAGCAAGGATGTCATACTCCAGTCTTCCTGGACCTTGGTAAGGCCACACCTGAAGCACTGTATACAGTCTTGGTCTCCTTACCTATGAAAGGATTGACTTGTTATGTCTGACTGATTCCTGGGATAGTAGGATTGATGAATAGGAGCGAATGGATTGACCAGGCTTGTATTCACTGCAATCTAGAAGAATGGAGTAGGGGAGAATAGACTCAAAATGTATAAAATTCTAACAGAGCTGGATAGACTGGATTCAGGGATAATGTTTCTTCTGGCTAGTCGATCTAGAACGAGGACTCTTGGCTCTGGATATGGGGTGGGTCATTTAGGATTGAGATAGGAGAGATCTCTTGACTCAGAGGGTGGTGAAGCTGTGGAATTCTCCACCTCGTAAGACTGTGGAGGCCAAGTCTGAATACTCGTAAGAAAGAAATGTGTCTATTTCTAGACACTAAAGGTGTCAAGGGATATGGCGAGAGCATGAAAGTATGTTGTTTCGAGGATGTGACTAATATGGTTGATGAGGGAATCCCCCTGGATGCGGTTTACTTGGACTGTAAGAATGCTTTCAATGAGGTTCAATGTATGAGATTAGTATGCAAAATGAAAATTACGAGATTGGGGATAGTGTACTCACATGACAGAGAATTGACTGACAGACAGGAAACAAAGAGTAGGTAGAAATGGGTCATTTCTGAGTGGCAGCCAGTGACCAGTGAGGTACGATAGGAATCAGTGCTTGGACCCCAGATATTCACAATATATATGAATGATTTAGATGACAGAACTAAATGTAAGTTTGTCGCTGAGTGAGAAGGTGATGTGTGAGGAGGATGCAGAAATGCTTCAGTGCAATTTGAACAAGTTGAGTGAGTGGGCAAATACATGGCAGATGAAGTATCCACTTTGGTAGCAAGAATGGGAAGGCAGATTATTTTCTGAACGGCAATTTATTGGGGAGGAGGGAGGTGCAATGAGATCTGGGTGTCCTTGCACACCAGTTTCTGAAAGTAAATATACAGGTGCAGCTAGTGGTGAAGAGCCAAATGGTATGTTGGCCTTCATTGTGTTCTAACATGGAGACAGTCAAACCAGCCTTTCTACCTCTATATTCACATCACAGTAAAATACGACCATCGAAGACCCTCAAAATTGACCCTAATCATTCTTAACCAGACTTTTGAAGATCCAATCCCAGACTCAGTCAATTTTTGACACTGGAGGTTTTCAACTTAAATAAAGGACTGAGCAATTTATTAATGATTTTAGGAGAGCAAAAATTAAACAACAAGGTAATCTAATTGGTCTATGCTATAAACCCAAACACCTTTGTTTTCAGGCCCATTCACATAAAAGACTGACAGACAAACAAACATAGTTAAGGGTTAAATAAAAGAAAATAACAAATCTGGCCAGAATACTTAAATGGTCTTCATGATGCATAGTTTCATAGGCTTAGATGATTGTTTCTTGCTTGATTTTCTGAAGACGTCGATCATTGTCGCCTTTACAGTTCCTTCAGATAAAGGAAGTAATGCTTATAGTTTAGTTTTCTATTCGTTGAACTTCCAAGAGTTGATAAGGAAGGTTAGGCAGGGAGCTTTCAAATCTTCATGCTGTAGCATTAACAGCCAGATTGCTCTTCACAGAAAACATAGTCCAAAATCCAGTTCAAACTCTGACTACTGTCCAACAGACTGACAGTATCCCCATGAGGCCCCAGTTACCATTCAACATCCAACATCTGCTTGAGGCCTTTGCCAGACTTGCTGGAACCAGTTCCCAAATACTGACTTCATTAAAGGCCACCATCTGGTCCATGTTTAAACATATTACAATTCCCCAGTGAACCTTTTGATTAGCAGCAACCTGCAATTAACTTCTAGGCTTGGACTTATTAAAGATAACAAAAGTTTGTTTGGTCTGTTCTTCTTTGAAGGCAAACTGTCATCACAATGCGAAAGTCATCTTTAGTTCACACTCTCCAGTTTACAGCTGTACAGGGTATTGGTGAGACCACACCTGGAATACTTTGTGCTGTTTTGGTCTCCTTATTCAAGGAAGGATGTTCTGGCCATGGAGAGAGTGTGGCAAAGATTTACCAGACTGATGGGTATGGCAGGCATGACATATGAAGAGAGTGTGGATCAGTTAAGAGTGTATTCACTGGAGTTCAAAAGAATGAAGGGGATTCATCAAAACCTAAAATATTCGAGAAGGACAACACTGGGCCATTGCAGGAAGAATAATGCTATTATAACTGAGTACAAGTAACTACAAAGACATGAGGGAGGACCTGGACAGAGTTGATTGGACGGAGAGCCTGGCAAGGAAAGACAGTGCAGCAGCAATGGCGGAGTTTGTGGGTGTAATTCAGGAAGCACAGCACAAATTCATCCCAAGGAAGGAGAAACATACTAAGGGGAGGATGAGGCAACTGTGGCTGATAAGGGACGTCAGGGACATACAGACCTTGAACTCTAGCTACCACACTTTTAAAGGCCTCCCACTTGCCAGAGTCCCTTTGCCTGCAAACAAACAACTCCAATCAACCCCTGCAAGCTCCTGTCTAATTCTATCAAAATTCGCTTTGCCCCAATTTAGAACGTGAACCTGTGGACCAGTTTTGTCCTTCTCCATGACTATTTTAAAATTAATAGAACTATGGTCATTGGTCCCAAAGTGCTCTCCCACTGTTACCTCAGTCACCTGTCCTGCCCTATTTCCCAAGAGTAGGTCGAGTTTTGCCCCTTCCCGAGTAGAACCCTCTATATACTGCTTAAGGAAACTTTCCTGAACAGATTTAATAAATTCCAGCTCATCTAAGCCCTTAACACTATGACCGTCCCAGTCCATGTTAGGAAAATTAAAATCCCCCACTATGACAACCCTATTGCTCCTGCAAGTCTCCGCAATCTCTCTGCATATTTGTTCCTCTAATTCAGGTTGACTAGTTGGGGGCCTATCGTACCACCCCAGTAATGTCACCATCCCCTTCTTATTTCTTAGCTCCACCCACAAAGTCTCACTGGATGATCCCTCAGATATTTCATCTCTGACTACTGCTGTGATTCTATCCTTAATCAAAAATACAACTCCCCCTCCTCTCTTTCCTCCATTTCTGTCCTGCCTAAAGCACCTGTACCCTGGCAATTAAGCTGCCAGTCCTGTCCCTCCCTTAGCCATGTTTCTGTAATGACTATAATATCCCAGTCCCATGTACTTATCCACGCCCTGAGTTCGACAGCCTTACCCGTCAGCCCTCTTGCATTGAAACAGATGCAGTTTAATCCAACAGGCATTCCTCACTCCCTGTCCTGTTCCAGCCTGACCTGTCTCTTCAACTTGCTGTTTCTGATGACTGTATCTCCTTCCAGCCTCATTCTTGCCTCCCTGCTGAGGAGGATACCACCCCCCTGCCAATCTAGTTTGAACTCTCCCTTGTAGCACCAGCAAATCTGCCTGCCAGGATTATTGGTCCCCCTCCAGTTCAGGTGCAACCCATCCCTCTTGAACAGGTCACCTCTGCCCCAGAAAAGATCCCAATGATCCAGGATTCAGAATCCTTGCCCCCATATCAATTTTTTAGCCACGCATTCACATGCCATATCCTCCTGTTCTGACCCTCACTAGCACATGGCACTGGAAGTAATCTAGAGATATTACCATCAAGGTCCTGGTTTTTTACTTTTTCTCCTAGCTCTCTACAATCACTCCGCAGGACCTCATCCATATTTCTACCTATGTCATTTGTGCCAACGTGCACAATGATTTCTGGCTGCTCATCCACCCCCTTGAGAATGTTCTGCAGCAGCTCCGAGACATCCTGGACCCTGGCACCTGGGAAGCAACACGCCATCCTGGATTCCTGTTTGCGGCCACAGAATCTCCTGTCTGTCCCCCTAATTAGTGAGCCTCCTATCACTACAGTCCTATTTATCTTTACCCTTTCCCGCTGTGCCCCAGAGCCAGTCATAGCACCACTGACCTGGCAACTGCTGCTTTCCCCTGAGAGGACATCCCCCCCCGAACAGTATACAAAATGGTATGCTTGTTTTCGAGGGGAATGGCCACAGGGGATTGCTGCACTCTCTGCCTACTCCCTTCGCCTTTCCTGGTGGTCACCCAGCTACAGCTTGTATCTGGGAACCAAAACTAGAAAACGTAACAGATCTGTCCGTCCTAACTTGCCCTACTCTGTCTTTATCCACATTGCTATAGAGTTCTTTTGTTTTATCATTTCTTTTTGCATTTCTAAATCAATCTTCACCCAAATCCTCCATTTTGCAACCCCCGCCACTTTCAATTTAAAGCCCTATTAGTTGATTGCTTCACCAAAGACACTGATCCCCACAGCCAGGTTAATGAAGCCCATTTCAGTCTCCTCTTTCCTCAGTACTGCCACCAATGTCCCATGAATTAAAATCCCTTCTTCCCATATAAAACTCTGAAACATGTGTTTAAAATTTTCCTATCTGCTTGACCCTGTACCTATTGGTCTATGACTCAGGTAGCAATCCAGAAATAACTAACTTTCAGGTTTTACTTATTAATTGAGACCGCAACTCTTCCAACTGTCTCAGCAGAACATCATTGTACTTGTGCTTGCCCTGGACCATGATGTCATTCTTCAAATTCGCTGCCAGTTGTAAAGAGACTGCCTTATCCCTGGCAACAGACAGGCAGCACCACCTTCAGATCACCCAATGGCAGCTGCAGCAAACAATATCTATTGCTTTGATTATTCTGTACCCTATCATCCCTTTCTTATTCCCTCAATTGAATGGTATCCCATTCTGCCATGTTCTATTTGCCTATCCTCCTGGCAGTTCTTGTTCTCATGTACACTAGCACCAAGTACCTCATACCTGTTTGTCAAAGTTAATAGTGTAAACTCTCCCATCACTACCTGTTGGTTCCCCATACCTACCTAATTCACAATTACACCTTACTGTCCCTGATCATTGTCCAGTTTTAAAATACCTAATCTGAGTGGCGTCATGGCCTCCCACACAAAGTATCTTGGTAATGTCCTCCTTCCTAATGTTCCACAATATCGATATTCGGTCTCTAGCCCAATAACTGATTCAAAGTTGTTTAAGATGTAAGCACTTATCATGAATGTGGTTTTCAAAAACGCAATGTATTCCACAGATTTCCACGGTGCAACATATCCCCTGCCAGTCCAACCTTATTTATTGACTTGTTTTGTTGATTAGTCAATAAGTTTGTTAGCTAAAAGAAAATAATATAAAGCAGTCTCCTCGCCTTAAGGCAAAAAGAGAACACTCCCCAACTGCTGGAGGTTTAATAAAAAGCAGTACCTCCTTCCCTCTCTGGACGAGATTTCTACTTGCACCAAGTTTCCAATTACACTCAGTGATGATGCACTGTCATCGTGCTTTGTGTTTCATCACTCTGTGCTGTAGCAAGGAACTGTGTGGTGTTGTCGCTGTGTGAAGAGTGGAGGCTTCCATAGCATACCTTCATTTTAGTGATTATTAGAAAGGAAGGAAACTTTTGTGAAGTGCATCAGCTGTAACCGGACAAAACACCTTATTGCAGGTCTCTCCAAGCTTCTAGAAGCAACAGAATCTGTCGCTGTCCTCGCAAAAGAACTAGCACAGAAAGAAAAGGAGTTGGCAGTGGCTTCGCGTAATGCAGATAAGGTTGGTGCACATAATGATTTAAAATATTATATTATGTATCTTGTAGTCATTTGGATGTCGGAACTTGAGTATTGCTGAAAAACAGCACATTTTGTTGAAACTTTTTGTCTTGCCCTCATCAAGACGATTTGCAAAAATATCAATTCAAAAGGAAAGCCAGCATTCACACGGCATGAGTGAAGAGTGCTAATGGATTGGCAAATAGATTCTGATTGGTAGAGGTGTTGCCATGAAGAATGCACCAATTAATGATGTTTGACAGTTAACTGCCAGGCTTTGTTTAAATTTTAAACCAGGCAGATTGATTCTGGTTGGTCAGGTCACTGGCATGAGAAATGAACCAGTGAATGGCATTCAACAAGGTGCCACACAAAGGGCTGCTGCATAAGATAAAGGTACACAGCATTACAAGCAATGTATTAGCATGGATCGAGGAATGGTTAACTAACAGGAAGCAAAGAGTGGGGATAAATGTAATTTTCTGGTCTGAGATCAGTGGCTGGTGGTGTGCCTCAGGGATCAAAGTTGGGACTGCACTTGTTAACAGTTTATATAGATGATATGGAGTTGGGGACAACTGTAGTGTGTCAAAGTTCACAGGTGACACTAAGGTGAGCAGTAGAGCAAAGTGTGCAGGGGACACTGAAAGTCTGCAGAGGGAGATAAATAGTTTAAGTGAGTGGGCAAGGGTCTGGCAGATGGAGTACAATGTTAATAAATTTGAGATCATCCATTTTGATAGGAATAACAGCAAAATGGACTGTTATTTAAATGGTGAAAAATTGCAGCATGCTGCTGTGCAGAGGGACCTGGGTGTCTGTGCATGAATCACAAAAAAGTTGGTTTGCAGGTGCAGCAGGTAATTGAGAAGGCAAATGGAATATTGTCCTTCATTGCTAGAGGGATGGAGTTTAAAAACAGGGAGGTTATGCTGCAGCTGTATAGGGAGCTGGTGAGGCTACACCTGGAGTACTGTCTACAGTTTTGTTCTCCTTACTTGGGAAAGGATGTACTGGCACTCGAGGAGGTTGAGAGGAGGTTCACTAGGTTGATTCTGGAGTTAAGAGGGTTGGTTTATGAAGAGAGATTGAGTAGAATGGGATTATACTGTTTGGAATTTAGAAGAATGAGAGTGAACAAGTTGTTGCTGAGTATGTATCACTTAGTAGTACTGTTCAGAAAATCTTATTGCACTTTGATAACTGGAAATAGACTGATGGAGTGGCAATTAGATGGTTTGGATTTTGCCCAGTTGTTTTAGGACAGGATAGAGTGAACCAGTTTGCCACATATTTGGGCAGATGCCAGTGTTATAGCTCCACTGAAACAGCTTGCTGAGGGGTGTGGCTGGATCTGGAAAAGAAGCCTTCAGTACTATTCCCGGAATGTTGTCAGAAACCATAGCCTGTGCAGTATCCAGTGTCTTCAGCCACTTCTTGCCAGCGCATATAATTAGTACATGTGTCTGAAAACTGGCATCTGTGATGATGAGGACTTCAGGAGGAGGCCAGTTTTGATCTTCTACTTAAGACATCTGGCCAACCATAGTTATAAATAATTTGCCCTTTACACAGATGCATTAGGTTCCATCATTGAAGATGAGGCCATTTTTGAACCCTTCTGCTCTAGTTAGTTGTTTAATTATCCATCACCATTTACAACTGATGTGACAGAACTGCAGAATTAATTTTTTGAGATAGTAGGAACTGGAGATGCTGGTGAATCCGAGACAACAAGGTGCAGGGCTGGATGAACACAGCAGGCCAAGCAGCATCATAGGAGCAGAGAGGCTGACGTTTCGGGCCTAGACCCTTCTTCAGAAAAGGGGGAGGGAAAGGGGGTTCTGAAATAAATAGGGAGAGAGTGGGAGGCGGATAGAGGAGAGGATAGGTGGAGAGGAAACAAACAGGTCAAAGAGGCGGGGATGGGGCCAGTAAAGGTGAGTGTAGGTGGGGAGTTAGGAAGGGGATAGGTCAGTCCAGGGAGGACGGACAGGTCAAGGGGGCGGGATGAGGTTAGTCAGTAGGAGATGGAGGTGCGGCTTGAGGTGGGAGGAGGGGATAGGTGGGAGGAAGAACAGGTTAGGGAGGCAGGGACGAGCTGGACTGGTTTTGGGATGCGGTAGGGGGAGGGGAGATTTTGAA